TTACATAAAGAGAGATGAAAAATATTATAGAAATTTCTTCCATTTATTTCTATATAATTTTTAATAAATTTATATGATTACTTTTTAATTTTTTATAATTATAGTTATATTTAGAATATTGCGATCACATTTTATTGTTATATTACGTCAAAGTAAAAGAAAAGCTTTTGAAAAATTGTTCCGGAAGTATTCCAAATTTCAATGAATTAAATGAAAAGTTGTACGTGATCCTTTATCGTACCTTGATACACATTTTCTGTTCGGTATAATTCTGTGGGTCGATAAACGTGTCGCGAACAAGACTAACGTTCAGTCAAGGAGCGACAAACGTATTTATAGGAACATATCAGAGTGGCCATTGGTTGCCGATAGCATCTCTCATTGCATCGTAAGCAGCATTCGAAGTAGCGTAGTACGTGATGTGATAACAGAAATTTCGCTCTCGATTTATGACTCTTCGCGCCGCCACGGAAGAAAGTCGTGAGAGCCGAAATGCTGGCCGATTTGTTAAATTTCTCACATCGCTCGACAGTTATCTTTTACAGAATATCTTAAAATCCATTGTGTATTGTTAATCGAAATATTAGTATTATCGAACAATAGGTATAACTCAATTTGTAAGAAATCATTCGAATAAAGAAAAATTCTGTTGAAAGTTACAGCGTTGTTATGCGCCGTTTACCTAAAAAATAGTGTAAAACCAGTTTCTCGAGACACATTATAAATTTTAACGATATATGATTACAAGTTATCACGGCGTATTAATTTTAGCAAGATTTTCGAAAGTGAATTTACTGAAGATAAAAAACAACTCTGTAATTTGGCGCCAGATGTTTTTCAAGATTGCGAAAATGTGCGGCGAAAATAAGGAGGGAGGAAATGAGATGTTCAATAATTCTCCTATGCAGTGCTTTCACCTTTGCGTAATCCCGACGGTTTTTGGTATCAGCTATAAGTGTAACGCTTCCGTCACGATGAGGTGACGGGCTGAGAATATCAAGCAAGACGATAATATGTTTATGGGAGAGTCAAATTTCGCTTTCGGATCTTCAGAGAAAGGTATGATTTTCATGGCACGCACAAAATCAATTGAAACATCGCTGACATCGCGGGATCGTTTTTTTTTTTCTTTCAACTTGTTTAATTAGCTAAAAATTACGAAAATTAAATTAATCATATTTAATTAACATATAAAACTGAAACTTTGGAACAACTTTCGGGTCTTCAGAGAAAGGTATAATTTTCACGCACAAGATCAATTAACATCGCTGACATCAGCGTTCTTTCTCTTTAATTATATGTACTGACTCATCTCTGTTTTCGACAGAGAGAGCGAAACAAAATGATTCACGCTCTCGACAAGTCCGTAATTTATTATTCGATCAACTGTCAATTCATTGAATCGTGTTTTTCTTTTACTTGTTTAATTAGCTAAGAACCACGCTTTGATCATTATTTTTAAACATCATAAATAAAATTAATTTAAATAAAATTAATCATATTAATTAGCATATGAAATTGAAACTTTGAAAATAACTCTAAATTAATTTCTGTCAATAATAAATCTATATTTAATGAATTGACAGTTGATCAAATAGTAAATTACGGACTTGTTAAGAGTGTAAATCATTTTCGTTTCGCTCCTTTTCCGCCGTAAACAGAGATGAGTCAGTACATATAATTAAAGAGGAAGAGCGCTGATCGTGACCGTGAAACGAGTTTGCAAACCCGCTTGCTTACGCAACGTGATATCGCTGTGATGCTTCTTCTCGCATCCTTCCTGCCGCGCCGGAAAAAGGATCGTACACACAGATTCAAGCGATTGTCAGTGTGTTGCATAACATTAAGTACAAACAGAATCACGTTAAACGTATAGTAAAATAATATAAAATGCGAAAGAAAAAATTAAAAAATATTTTAAAAATTAAATGAGCATATTTTTACTTAAAACGGAAATAGGAAAATTAGGAAAATTTCTCACAAAGATAAAGCTTTCAAGATACGGCGTTAATATTTATACACAATATGACAAGCGATACAAAACATTTGTTCATATCAATACTTTATTTAATATAAAACAAACAATATTATTTATTGATATAAATGATTAATATTATTTATTGATATAATCAAGACTTAATTGTAATGCTACGTAGAATTATTGCGTATAAATCTTGCACAGCACATAAACATATCACTCTTGATGCAATATGTGCATACAAAATTCTAATTATTTTTACAGATAATAATATAATCGACATTTTCATTTTATGTTCATGTAAACGTTACATATAACGTGAATAATAAACGATCAGTATTTTTGCACAATACTCATTTTAAGTAAATTCATTCACTTAATGCTACTTATCTACATCACAAAAAATAAAATCACCTTAACGAACATTTCATCCCTGTCGACTTGATTATTTCGAAATACTGTTGAAATTTACGTCGTATATATGTACAATTTATCCATATTTAATGAAAACGAAACATAAATTAGCGAAACAATACGTATACATTACGAATACATTTATTAAATTATGTACGTAATGAAATACTTTAGCAGCTGCCAAATCTAGTGATAGCATGTATTGTTACAAGAGTTGATCCTTTTGTATTGTATAAATACGAAATTCTTGTTACATATAAATGTCATGAACGTATAAAATAAAACCATTTACTATTTTTGTTCAATGTACCATCTGTCTTTGTCATTATACACGTAAGTATGTATATTATATTTGCATTGTGACCTCAAAGATCATCATAATATAGTATTATTTAAACTAAATAATATAAAATCTTGATCAAATTATCAATAAAATTAATATTTTTGTCAAATTGTTTACATTAGCATGATTCAACGTGTTAAACAGATTTGTATCTGAATATTTTATAAAAAAATATTTATAATTCATGTTCTTTCTCTATGTACTGGCCAAACATGGCAAGTTTTACCGTTCATAGAGTTGTCACATTAACATGATACTTCTTAACATTAATTTCCGATAAGAAATAAAGCAAAGTATAATTTTTCTTTGTGCTTATGGCCATGTAATCTTCTGACGTTTTTTCGCCAATATTTCCTAAAACATTTAAATTCCATTATTTCCATTTTCATTGTTGCTTTATAAATAAAAATTATTTCATAATAATATGATTTACAAAAATAATGTTATATTAACTACACCATAATCTTTCAAAGAAATTAAATATTTTGTTAATTTTATTTTATAATATACACAACAGATCTATTCATAGAATAAAAAATTTAAATATTATCGGAAATCTTATATAGAACGTTGTGAGTCATTGAAGATAATAATACATACCTCATTCTGTTCATCGCATCTGCGTTTGCTAATTCCATTGCATGCAGTTTCTACTTTTGACGTAGAGCATAATTGAATCTTTTTATGTACTAGTTTTTGATCATTAAGAGGATACTTTAATTTATCTGTTTGAGGATGAGATAGTTGGGACATTCTGTTATTTGCTTTGTTTGATCCCATAGTTAAACTGTAGTTATCGTTATCACTAAAAAAAATTCAGATTGTACATTAACACTACCAACTGTGCACTCTATAATGATCATATATTTTTTATTCACAAAAACCTTACCTAATATCTGTAATAGATTTTTCTGGTGTTACATCCATATCTACATCTTTAACATTCCCACGCTGCCGCTGAGGTAAAGGCATAGCAACTCGTTTATACATTTCCAATAGTTTAGTTTTACCCAAATTCTCAAAATTGGAAAAGTCAATGCAACTCTGTAAAGAATAAAAATACAGATGTGTAATTAAGACATACTGTAGATACACCTAAAACTTGACTAAACTATAACTATAATAGATAATCGTTAACGAATAGTGTCTACTGCACGTAAACAACTGTTCCTTTTTAAACAATTGTTTACTGTGCTGTTTGTTAGTTTATAAATCTATATGTAAATTAAAGTATATTTGTTTAATCGCTATTCAACGGAATATATCTAATTAACTATGTAATGTCAATAATTAAACATTTTTTTAAATAAAAAGAAACAGATTGATGAACATAATAAGAAACAAATAATAAATCACGGATAGCCGCATCTATGACTTGTAAACACACCTAACCTATATGTCTTACATTTTCCAAAATCAAACGAAGCTGGTGCTCTGACAGCAACTCCGGGTGCGTGAGTTTATATGTGTCCAGGTTCCACATTCTCGTATACGCTTTCTCGTCGCACCAGAAGAAAAACACGGGAATAATGTTACGAACATCTCACACGCGCAATTCGGTAAGTATTGGCCGTTATCTGGCCGTCTTTATCACTGTCGTTATTGAAAATGTAATCAAAAGAGAAAATTCTCTGTGTGACTCGACGTTGAGTTCTACTACTACAAATTTATTTGTCTTTAACGATTTTGAATTTTTCAACAAAAAATCTTTCAAAAATTTTTAAAAACACGTTTCAATTATTTAAATATTTTACGAGCATCCTAACATCGTCAAAACAGCCCAGAAGGGAAAATAAATGTATAGAAAGGTTACGGTTATCCAAAACGAAACGACCCAAAACGCTCTATTTTATTCAAAGTTAACGGAAGCGCGGAACAGTGTCGCTAGATTTGAGACGCAACAACAGCAGCAGGAATGGAAGAACCGCACACATGCACAAGCCACGTATGCCATGTGAGCTCCGCGCTTCGCATTACTACTGATTACTACATGCAAAGAGAAACCTGAGAGGGGCCACGTTGCAGTGTTCCGATTAGGGACCGGTTGTATGCGCATGTGCAGCTCTGCGCATGTGCAGCTCTGCGCATGTGCGATAATGGAGATCCAGTGCCGTTATATGTTGTGAGTTGACCGTATGGCGGGACGTTTTGACATGAGGAGGTTAGATGACTAGAAATAAGGTAAGATTTATTTATTTACAAGCATAGAATCTACGGAGCCAGCAGACTAAAAAACCAAAAATAGAAAATTTCAATCAATTTCAAAAAATTTTGAAATATTTAAATGTAGGGGGGTAACGTGCCTTGTTTAACTTGTATGAGACCACGGACTAAGGAATAGAGGGACGGAGCACAAGCTGGTACCGGGGGAGGCACGGTTTGGCGGCGGGGGGGGGGGGGGGCCGCCATATTCGTTTAGTAATCACCACCATAGAACTCACTATTTGCGTATGTGTGAGAAATGAAAGTCAGATCCTGCCACAGACTTCTATATATTACTAGACTGCTAACTTCCCAAATTTCGCTTATGTGCTATGGCCCCAAAAAGCATGTATTAAAGTGTCTCATTGTGCACATGCGCAGAAGCAAAAAGATATATATAGTCAATATATTCTCCATAATACGGTTCTTCTAACCTATAATTCTAATCTTTTTACATGAGAAAAGTGATCCGCGATACGTGATAAAAACGTCATAAAAAGAAGTCAACAATGCCATTTAAATGTGCTGTTTTAAATTGCAAAAGCACAGCAGCATACAGAAAGAAAAATGACAAAATCTCTTTCTTTAAGTAAGTATTATTTAATAAAAATATGTGGTAGAATTATATTGTCGTGACACTGCTGTTTTTTGATCATTAAAAGAAATTCTAAATATATTTAGTATCAATGTTAATAAATTGTTAAATAATTTAGATTTCCTATAAGTATACCTTATTTATTGGAACAATGGATAATAGCAATTAATAGAAGAAATTGGATACCAACATCATCAAGCCGTATTTGCCAATTTCATTTTACTGATAGTGATTTTGCAAATACATCAAAAGTGAGAAGATTAAAAGCAGATATTATACCCACTCAAAATTTATATGATCAAAGTTCTGATAAAGATTCAAGTAAGTATATCAACAATTGCACATATAAAATCAGAAAATTATTTAATATATGAATTTTATTTTGATTTATCTAGATTCAAATGAATGTAATAGCGAGAATCTGGATGTCCAAACTTTAAGTGAAACAGATATTACTGCACAATATGATACTGCTGATACAACATACAATACGATACAGCTAGGTACGAAAATAATAAATTATAATATATATTATATGAAAATCAGAAAATTATTTAATTACATGATTTCTTACGTAGCGTATATAATTAGATTTCATGATTTTATTATTATGGATTTTATTACTATATATCTTATAATTTTTGTAATATAAATTATGTCTTATTTTAGGCTTAACAGAATCTCAAAAACGTGAATCTACAAATATATTACAAAAGACAAACATAAAAATGTCGTAAACTGGAAGATGAAAATAAAAAACTGAAAGCAATGATCAGTTCCTTAACACAAGATTATGAAAAACAATTAAACAATCAAGCAGATATGTTTAAAACTTTTATAGAAAAGAAAAAAAAATTGGAAAGAAAAGCTTGTTTTCGAAAAAAATAAAATAAAATTATTAAATAGAAAAACAAATAGAAAAGAAATACAAATTGATAACTTGATACATAAATTAAAAGATTCAAAAACAATTAATGATGAAACGTATGATATGTTAAGTTCTGATTTGGGTAAAGTATCTTCTGAAATATTTAAAAATGATCATAAAAATAAAAATAAACAAAAAGGACGACGTTATTCCGAAGATATTAAAAGGTTTGCATTGACCTTACATTATCATTCCCCAAAAGCTTACGGGTATTGTAGGTCAGCATGTGTGTTTTCTTCTATTTCTTTTTTAAAATTCTTTTATGCATTAAGAAGTATACATAAATATAAATTAATTAATTATGTATATGCACACACACATATATATATATATACAAATATATATGTATATAAATTAATAGTAGAAAAATATTGGGCTTGTTTGTTTTAGCTGCACTGGGGCAGCTCTGGGTCTGCTCTAAACAAGATAATACAGGACAAACTATTTATCTGTCCTGTATTATCCTGTGTAGAGCAGAACCAGAGCAGCCCCAGTGTAGCTAAAACGAACAAGCCCATTAACTAAGTATACTTATTAATGTATGACCTGATTTATTACTGTATATATTTGCATGTTTTATGTTTGAACATTTATTTATTATTATTAACTTTAACAAAAAAATCATAGGTAACACATGTTCATTTTATATACCAATGTTTAGGGAATGTATATGAAATGATTATGTCCTACCTAGGATATGTTGGACTTATAATTGAATAAATATAATGTATTGCATGACTATTAATAGAACATGTGCTTATAAAGCTGTTCAATTATAACTGCTTATATCCCAGCAAACGAGAATGGATTAAAAGTAAAAATTTTTAACCAAGAAAAGGAATTCAGAAAGATTGAAAATTTTTACTTTTAATCTATTCTCGTTTGCTGGGATGTTTATATAAACTATAATATATCCTTTTCCTTTTAAAATATTTATTAGTAATTTATTAATACTTCAGCAACAATTTGTCACTTATTAATTATATCTCTGTGCTCTATTACTAAATTTGTCTGTCTGCAAAATCTGTTTTTTTCTTACATTACTTGCAATGTGCAATGCTATTTTTGTTATACATTATTTACGACTTTATCTATTATTATACTTATCATCAAATGTGCAAATATAAAAAATATATTTAATATTATTGTTATGAAAATAGTATTTCTCATAAAACTGATTTTTTAGAACAATTTTCAAATTGCCACATCCATCATCTATGCGAAATTGGATGTCCAATATAAATATAGGACCTGGATTTCAATTGAAAATATTACAAACTCTCAACGAATTAGATGAAAAAGAAAAGGATTGTTGCCTTATATTAGATGCAATGGCAATTAAGCAACAAATCACATGGAGTGGAGAGAAACACAAGTACATAGGATTTTGTGATTACGGTAATGCTGTATCTATAGAAAATGATGATGTAGAAGCAAGGGAAGCTTTAGTATTCTTATTAGTATCGTTAAAAGGAGCATGGAAATGGCCAATTGCATATTTTTTGGTAAATAAAACATCTTCGACAATGCTGTGTCAATTAATAAAAAATGCGTTAATTCTCTGTTGCAAATATAATTTACGTGTACACAGTTTAACATTCGATGGTGATACATGCAATTGTAGTGCAATAAATAAGCTTGGAGCAGAAATATTTGCTGAAGATTATAGACAAATTAAAAATTCATTTCCATGCCCTTCTAATGAAAATAAAATGTAAAAATCATATTGGATCCATGCCATATGGTTAAATTAGCTAGAAATGCGTTAGCAGATTACAAAGAATTTAAAACTCATGAAGGTTCTATTAAATGGGATTATATTGTGAAGTTACATGCTTTACAAAAGCAATTAACTTTGAAATTAAAAAATACGTTCATCTTCACAATGTATAAATTGGAAACAAAATAAATAAAAGTGAAGTATGCTGTACATGTTCTGAGTTCATCAGTTGCTAATGCTATAGAATTTTTAGAAGCTGAAGGCTTTCAAGATTTTCGAGATAGTTCTGCAACAGTCAAATTTTTGAGAACAATAGATCGCTTATTCGATATATTAAATTCTAGAAATCCTTTCGGAAAAGGTTTCAAGACACCCATTTTTTCGAAAAATATTGAATATTTAAGACATATTGTTAATGATACAACAAAGTATTTATTTTCTTTAAAAACATCTGATGGTCGATTACTACATCGCACTGCAAGAAAAACATTTATATATGGTTTGTCAATTGCTGCTCAGTCAATTTTGGATATTTCAACAGAAATTTTTAAAAATAATGAATCTTTTAAATATATTTTAAGTTATAAATTTTCACAAGATCATTTAGAAATATTATTTTCTAAGATTCGTGGGCGACACGGTTTTAATAACAATCCTACTTGCCAACAATTTACGTATGCAATGAAACAAATTTTATTACATACTGACATAAAAGCTTCAATAAATTCGAATTGTTTTGAATTTGATGCAGAATATGCCACATCTATATTTCCTTTAATGTGGAAGAAAAAGAAACAGGATAATATGTTTAATGATTTAGAATCTGAAAACGATGACGAATATAATAATGATTTTCATGAAATATCATTGAAAAAGCACGATACTGTTACTGATTATATAATTTATTATATTAGCGGTTACATTGTTAAAAAATTAAAGTATCTTAACTGCAAATCTTGTATTTTAAATTTAAGAAATATAGAATCTGAGCATAATTATGCTCATGAAGAAACATTTTCCACATTTTTAAATTTCTGCAATAATGGTGGATTAGTAAAACCTTCTGCATCAGTTTTTTCTATATGCAAGGAAACTGAAAAACAATTACATATTATAACAGATCATTTCTGTGAAATAAATATAAAAGAAATAGATAAAAAAGTGATAAATAAAGTAAAAAATGTACTTGTTTTTAATAACAAAATATTTCCTAACTTACAATGCGAAGACATAAATTTACTGGAAATGCCTCATAAAATTCAATTAATAATAGCAGTGTGTAATAAATATATCACAATACGGCTGCATTCATATTCAAAATTTTATCAAGAAGAAATTTTAAAACCAATTCGAAAACGCCATCAGCTGACTAAACAAATCTTATTTTTAAGAGAATAATTAATAAAACAGTTAATATTAAAATAATATATTACCATATAAAATCAGAAAATTATTTAATATATGAATTTTATTTTGATTTATTTTGTAATAATTTTATATTTTTATATGTAATTAATTAAAATAATATAAAAATAAAATATAAATGTAAAATGTGTGTATTTTTTATTTATCCTTAAAATATTTTATATACATATATCAATCATTTTATAATATCATTTAATAAAAATATTAAAAATAATATATTTTATATACAAAAACATTAAACATTAAAAATAATATTTCTTATATACAATTTTAGTGTTATACATTAGTATTTTTATATAAAATGTTTTGCATACTACACATTTTATAAAGCTTGATTCATTTAAATTAACTTAGCTTAATAATACTATTTAATAATATTATTATTTTTTTAATAGATTTCTGTTTTTTGGACGAGATATTAGTTAATTGTATTATGTATGTGTGTTTATATGTGAATGTGTAGCATGTAGGGACATACATCACAAAGCGCATGCGCAGAAAGGAATACTTTATGTATCGTTTCGTACATAAGAAATGAAGACGCCTTATACATAAGGAGTTAGCAGTCTAGTAATATATAGAAGTCTGTGGATCCTGCGCACAATAAACAAAATAGGAAATAGAAATAGGAATAATTATTAAATATTAGAAATAAGAAATTGGAATTATTTATTTAAAAATAAAAGAATAGAAAAAATTAATGCATGAATTAAGAAATAAGAATTGGAACTAATTAATATATTTTATTTTCTTGTTAGATGTAAAATAATTTCTCTTTTTAATATTAAATGATTATTGCTATTTCTAATATTTTGTCTACTGTATGCAGAGCCTCAGAGTAATAAAAGTTAAAGTATTTTATAAAATTTATAGTACAACAATAATAAAACCGCCTAATCTCTTTACGCTTGTCACTCGTTATGTCTAGTGGCACCACTACACGAATGTAACCATGTCACAGACACAGAATCTCTGTGTGAGAATCGCTACATCAATATGACGGAAAGCAGTCCCCCCCGCACGCTTGAATTACCATCTCCTCTCGCCTAAACTAGGACTTTAGACTCAGTCCTCAGTCCCTCTATTCCTTAGTCCGTGGTCTAAACACACGTGTATAGTGTATAAAGCGGTGCAAAGCTATGTTCACGTTTAAAAATGGCGCTCTTCAATCGTGCTAATTTGAACGCGTTTTGCTTATTAAATAACTGTTATTATAAATTCAAGACGGGCACGTTGAGATTAAAATCACGAATCTCAATAATCACAAATATCATGCAAGGTAAATTTAACCAGCACGTTAAGTCAACATGGCATTATTTTAAGATAACCTAAAACCTAAACTCACAAATAAAAATATATAGTCTTTTTCAAAGAGATTTGTTAGTTTTCATATAATTGTTTTGTGTGCATAAATTAATATCTTTTCAATCAATAGCTTTTCTTTTGCATCGCAGATAATTTACATCTATTTCTATTAGAACATAACATAACCTATATTACTGTCCAGTGATTTTGTTTCTTAGCAGAGACAGAAAAGAAGACACAAAAGGCATCGAACGTTAAAAAAAGATTAAATACGTTTGAAGCTGAAATTGCCAGCAGGAGACACCAAGCATGTCGCAGTATAGTGGTGCAAGTGCTGTCATCAAATTCATTCAACGATCTCCTGAATTATTGTACTCAATTTGGAAAAGTTTTAAGTATGCACCATTACTACATAAAACAAGATGTATGTATCTTCATTTCAGTATATTTGGGTATTTACTCACAATTATTTACATATACAATATTATACATACGAATTATCACACATTTTTTCATAGTAATGTAAATATATAAATATTGTTATTAAGATATCACATTTTTATTGTTTTTTAGAATTATATCTTGGTTGAGTTTAAAGATAAGGAATCAGTGAATGAAATTGTATCACATGCTTCCTTCATAAATAAAGATGTAATCGCTCCTGTAAAATCAACAGTATTATGGTTTCATAAAGGATCAACCAAATATAATCCGAACAATAATCAAAATCCGAACAATAATCGGGAAAGTATGCGCCTGTTTACAGAGAATAATTACACATGCCCTTCTGAACAGGATATTGCAAAGTTATTATATGAAGCGAAATCGGTAAAATGTTATTAATTTTTTACAACTATGTTTATATTACTATTGATATTATTAGAAATTAGAAATACTTTTACTGTACTTTCAGGTATCAGGACAAATAACTGATTTCTATGAAACACTAAAATTAAATGATTTAGAAACAAGACTTAGATTTCACACCGCCCATCACTTGGAGCAATATTTTTCTAGATTGTTTCAAAACATGAGAGTTCTACCGTTTGGTTCCTCTGTAAATGGTTTTGGAAGGAAAAGGTGTGATCTTGATTTAGTTCTTGTTCCCGATCACACTGCTAAAGTAAATACATAAGTAGTACGTGAATTATTTGAATTTTTATGACTTTAATATCAGGAGATTAATGGAGTGTAATGTTTGTAGCGTGATTCCAAAAGTAGATTAATATTTCACACAAAATCTATAAAACTTGACGAGAGGCACGGGACGAAGGAGTTCATGGGAATACTTGCCAGCACTATGGAGAACTTCATCCCTGGTGTTCGTAATGTGCGAAGGATATTGGAGGCTCGAGTGCCAATAATCAAATTCAATTGCGAGTACACACATATTGAATGTGACTTGAGCACAACCAACTTGTAAGTTGAAATATATTTAAATTATTTTGACTTGGTACAAAATCAACGATTCTTTTATATCCTACAAATACAAAACACATATGACGTCAACAACCATTTCTTTCAGGATTGCTATATATATGTCCGAATTATTAAACTTTTATGGAGAGATAGATTACAGGGTAAGACCGCTTGTTATAGTAATACGAAAATGGGCGAAAAACCAGGAGATAACGTCAGATTCGCCAGGGCCGTGGATAACAAACTTTTCTCTTTCGTTATTAGTGTTGTTCTATTTACAGCAGAAAAATATATTGCCATCTTTGACAACGTTAATATCGTGTGCAAGTAAGAACTATTAATATACAAATTATACAATTTCTACGTCATCAGAGATCTGTATCTTGTGTCTTCTTTCTATTTGCAGCAGACAACGATGCTCGTTGTACAGAGAACGGCATTAACTGTATTTTCTTGCGGAATGTTGAGAAATTGCCAGTCGAGTATAGACACAAATCGAATAATGACTCTCTGGAGACGCTTCTATACGGCTTCTTTGAGTACTACTCGAAGTTCGATTTTCATACGAAAGGCATATGCATTCGCAGAGGCATACCAATTCAGAAACCATCGCATTCGGCGCTTCACATCACCAATCCCTTTGAAACGATGTTGAACGTTAGCAAGAACGTGAATATCCACGAGGTGAATCGTATACTTCAAAAGCTACACGACGCTCTCTACACATTAGAGACTGCTGACACATCCAGGAGTAACAATTGGGGCCTCATGACTTTGATGACGAAATTGAACCTTTATGTGAGGCATACACTTAAATCGAAGAGGACAAAAGAGAATATCGAAGATAGCACGGAAGATTTTTCCCCTGAAATTTCTGATAAATATGGAGATAGTGAAGTTGACGTAAATCAATCGAAGAGAAAAGAAACTGTATGATATTCAAAGTAGTATGGCGGTGATGTATATACAACTCATATTCTTACATTGAAGTGTCTGCAGCCATTTTTTATACCATATAATTTGGCATTACTCAATAGTGAAAAATCAGAAAAATAGACATTTTATTTAAGAAAGAAAAGAAAAAAGTACAGACTGCAGATTGGAGACTTACTGCAACTAATTGTATCTATTGTACTATAATATAAACATTGAAAATAATAGGGAAATGTATATAAATCGACATTAATCGCATTAAAGAAGTATGTATAAGTTATTAGATATCAATTGATTATCAGATTGATTTATTGGAATTTTTATTGCTGTTATATTAATTCTGGAAATTGTTGAACATCGCATATGGCTAAAGTTCTCATCTATTGTCTCCGTTTTACAAGTAGCCTCGTCAAATTTGACGAGTAAAAACTCGATGTTTTTATATACGTACATGCAACCAAAGTAAAAGAGACTATCTCGCATTTCGAGATACAGTAATATATAAATCAAGGATGTATTTTATTAACTTGTATATATTTTACTATACCAGCAATTCGACATTTCTCATACATGCTTACAGTGTACACATTCGCTATAATTAGAACGTTCATTACAACCCTGCTGAAGGTTGTAAATCTTCGCTCGATTAAATTCGAAACAACGATTAACGATCGCATTGACTTTCACAAGGAAGAGCCGATTCCTCGTAATACCAATTATATTTACGTGTCCCTCTCTCTTTCGCTTTAAGTAATCGCGAATACTATCGTCACGTGACGTAGCCGATAATGTAATTATGAAACGCCCGCGCGGAGGGCGATTCGAGTTCTTTTTTTTTTTTTTTTTTAATGCCATTGGCGATTACGAGTAAACGCTCGAATTAGGCTATTCTTCGCGAACGAGTATCGTCGATTAAATTCGTAAATGTATATCTTGACTGGCAGTGTTGTTTACTAGCTAAGGTATTAACGTTTACTCGACCGATCGAATCGCGCAACGTACTTTACTGGACTATGCATCCGACCCGTTGACGTTCAAGGTAAAATCTCGCGCCGAATGCGATGAGAATCTATTCGCGTATCTCTCTAAAAACGGGGAAACCGAAATTGGAATTTCGCGTAATTCAATCGAAATAATGTTCGGGTGGAACGAAGCAAACGTCGTCTATTTACAGGTGTTCAGATTGTAACGTCAACCGCGGTTCCGCTGCAATTATTGTACATTACACACGCGCGTTTTATTACAGAAAAAAAAAACCATTTTCTTCCACGCTAATTCCTAATCAAGGCTCTACGTATATCGACCGCCCCGGACAGACCGTGCAGCGGGTAACGCACGATCCGTCTCGTGTCAACATTTGATTTACAAACGGCAGCGATACCGACCTTCGGTGCTTTCATCATCAAGTGCAATTAAATCGCTATAAAAGGTGTTGACGGGAGCTGCGCATCGTCGCGCACGCCGCAACTCCGACGAGGGACATAATGTAAACGTTAAAAACTCGGAATAATACAACCATCACGCGTTTGGTCGGGATGTCAAAGAAACTCGACAGTTTCTCCGAAAAGTAAATATAAAGACGAAAGTGCACTTGTCGAAGGTGCCTGTATTCCTCTCGCGACAGAGAATTCCGACTTTGCTTATATCGCGCGTAATAGACTTCTCTTATTATCATTATTATATTTATATCCATTGTTATTGTTATATCAGTAGAATGTCCAAAATCTTCGAAAAGGCCGATAATGCCGGCTCTCACAACAATGCGCTTCCGATGCTATTAAATAACATTATTAATTAAGCCACGTTTTTTTCGGACACGGTGTTTTAGTCTTTTAATAATTTGCTTTCTTTTTATCTACGTGATAGGCTCGCCGGACATCCTCGGGCATTACATCTCTTTACGTTATTCCCTTTGCTCGCGGAAGGACCGGGAGTCGCGCCATTAATTCGTCTTGCTCTTACGATGATGACGGTGATGATGCAGATGATGGTGTCGCAGCTGGGAGCGCGTCTCCTGCACGGCCGCCACCAAGGTGCGCACCGCCTCCTCGTGGCCCTCGAAGCTGTCCGCTTTCTTCAGCTGGCCGAGGGACGACGCGCCACCCCCTGGGCCCTCGCCACCACTGCCGCCGCGCTTGCTCTTGGGCCGCGGGAAGGTCTCCCAGGAACGCTGCTTCTGCACGAGAGACGACGACGTCCGTGACGTCGGTCCGATCAAAACGACCAGTGTTTTCCGTGGGTCCTGCGCGACGGATTGTTGACCTACCGTCCCATCGGCGATGCTCGACCGCCTGCTGTTGCCGGAACCGGTCGTGCTCAAGCTGTCGCAGCTGGCGCGCCGCCGCCGCCTCGTGTCCGCCTTCCCGTCGCCGTAGAACAACTCCTCGGAGTCGCTGGCCGGGTAGATCTTGGTCACTTTGCCCGCCAGCGCCGGTATCGAATCGTCCGTCGGCACCGCATGCACCTGCGCCTGCACGCGCTTCTTCGCTTCGCCCAGGCTCGACGCCTCCGAGATTCGTTGGTATTCGCCTTCCTCACCTGCTGGAAGCACAGAAACATTTTAGGGGACTGTCTTGGCCTCTTAGCGAGTGCGGCGTGTTGCGTGATTGCTGCAAATTCGCCGCGTTGGCGAATGACTTTTTTTTTTTTTATCTCGGGTGGATGACAATGTGCAATTGGTATTCACGTGTGCCCATCTTATATCGTTTACTAGTATACATCGACTAACGTACATTTTTTATTCATGTATATTTACATAGATCGTGTACATAAGCGTGTGCGACGAACGGCGAGATAACTTTACGCATTCGGCCGTCGTGACGTTCATCGCCTCTCTAAGTCTAAACCCGAAATTTCGCCCCGGATTGGACTACAAAGGAGGACCTGCGTGTCATAATGTATCAGTATATGTAATCGCGCGCGGCGACTCGTCCGTCCTTACCCATGTGCGGCTGCTGCGAGTCGGTGCACCTTCCGCTTGATCGAGCGCCTCGGCGGACGTGTCCCCGGCGCCGCCTTTCAGCGAGCGGTACAGCGAGCGCATCTTGCCGCCGGACGAATGCCCGGGCGGTGTCTTCGGCTTCGTGCTGTCCGGCGACTTGCGCGAGCGCCGGCTCTGGCTGCGATCGCGACCGTCCTCGCGTCCCGGCGACTTCTTGCGATCGTCCTTCTGCGTCCTGGCCTTCTCGATCAGCTGACTCAGCACGCCCCGCTTGGTCGGGTCGGTCGATTTTGCCGTCCCGTAGACAACTATGTTGCCGCTCGAGTCCAAGACCGCGCCGACACCGCCGGACGGCGTGCGGCATCGCGTCGGGACCTCCTTCGCTTCTGAACGAAAAATTCGCAATCGGTTATTATTTACAAATTTGCCTTCACTATTTTATCGCAAACGCAAGATGTCAGATTGGAGAATTTATAACAATGTTAAAATCAAATAACATCTATCGTATCTGAAGATTGTTGAAAACAAAGGTGCGTACATTAATGAATAAAGATTTGTTACAAAAATTGCTAACTTTCCAAGAAGTCAAGCCAATACTTTCGCGCTCTCTCTCTCTCTCTCTCACCCTTCATGTATAACGCGTTGTCGGCACTTGTGGCAGTGCTACGTGGATGACGATGATCCTTCGTCGGTGCTTGAGCCTGCGGATGTGGTTCCTGCATCTGCAGACGCGCCAGGTGATCCAGCAGCGCGTGCAGATGTTGATTGTCGACTGCGTCCGCCGCGGCCATGCTGACTTCGCCGGCGCCGATGCCCGTGGAGAACGATTTGACGAAGGGCTCTAGGTGCTGGGCGAGCGCCTGTAGTTTCTTCACTTCGCTCCTCAGCGACAATATGTCGTTCATCTAAAACGATAAATTTGCGAACAAAGGATTAGAAAGACGCGAAGAGCGCGGGTTCGATTTAGGAGGAAAAGAAAAATGCACCTGCGAATGAAAGATTTCCTTTTCTATGTGAATTCTGCACACTTGCTCCTCCCAGAGCGCGTCAAAGACATTCCTCAGTCGCTCTAATTCTATTTGATGATGCTCCAATTGTTGCTCCAGCAAGCGGCAATCCCTCGCGACGTGGTCGTAGCGCGTGCCCAACGGCGGCGTGTTCGCCCTCTTCAACACGGAAACGTCCCGCTGCAACTCGCCCAGTCGTTCCTTCACCGTCATCAGTTGCTGACTCAGTTCCTTCAGTTGGTTGTCGAAGGTCCGACAGTGATTAGAGAACGGGCCGCAGTCGGGGCCGCCTTTCGGCGGTAGCCTCTGAGTAGTCTTGCTTTGCTGGAAAAACGTATTCCTGATGTAACACGCGATCGAACAATACAGTACGAAAGTAAATAACAAAAATTGGAGAGACATTTAAGAAATAAAATCTCTCTGTTAATGTCAAAAGAAAAAAATCCACCCGTAATGTAATATTTAAAAATCTAAGTCTTGTCGAACGTCACTAAAGTTCTTCATTTTTCTCAATTTTATTTTATAAAAAAATATTACTTTTTGCTCATATCTTGATAAGAAAATTAAATATTTAATAACATAGCTAAAAATAAAAGATGCAATCACGATGAACGGAGCAATTTTTCTATTCTTCTTGCGACTTATTACTTTGCGTACTTGAAGTACTTGCGGATCCGGTTGGGGTATCGTGTGGCCGCCGATCGTCTCCGACCGATCGTACAGAGACTCAACAGTGGCGGTCTTCGGTATCTGCATCTGGCCGATGTACGGTTGCAGGGCGCGGGCGAAGTCTCCGCGGTAGTTCGTCTTGATGTACGCGGCGAGCAGAGGCGGCCGCGACGGATGGCCCAGCTGAGCGACGCGGCTCAGTCGCTCCAGCATCGGATGCGCCAGCTCCAGGAACTGGTACTTGGTCGCGCCGCTGGTGAACGCGGTGCACAGCATCAGGTGCATCTGCAGCACGGGCAGCGCGCTGCCCAGCGCGATCAGTTGCGTGCGCACCATGCGCTCCTTGGTCTCGAATTGACGCTGCAGCTCCGCGATCACGTAAGTGTGCGTCTTGGTGATCGCTTCCTGCATGCCCTGGCAGAACGCGCCCAGCGCGCGCTTCTCGGACTCGAGACTGTGGCGCAGCTCGTCCAGCTGAGACTTGAGCGCGAGCACGCCGTCGCGGATGCCGGCCTGCAGCTCGCAGATCGAGTTCACCGCGCGCTCCATCTTCTTCGAGGCCTGCTGCCAGGCGCTCTCGATGTCCACGCAGTGGACCCGCGCGTCCGCGGGCGTGTCGCGAAAGCAGGTGGCGCACAGCATGCACTTGGCGCTCTGGCTGTACATTATGTACTGCTCGCCGTGGTTCGGGCAGCGGCGTTGAGTGTCCTTGGCGCATTTGCTCATATGCAGTACTTCGTGGGTGGAGAACATCTTCGCGCGATGCGTGTTTTCCCTGCAGTGGGTGCAAAGCGCCTGCCCTGTGAATTTTTTATTTATGTTCGATTAACGAGTCGATATTGAGAAAATCTGTATCATCGGGGAAAACATACCGCATGTCGTACAGAAGAACATAGTAGTTTTATCGCGCTTGTCGCAATTGGCACACGGTGGATTCTCAGAATTTGCCAGTTCCACTAATTGTCGTATCAGCTGATCGGGAGGTGGCAACTGCGCTCCTTCTTTCAACTGTGTTTGTTGCCTGGGTATAAGACTGAATATTAGAATATTAGAACATTATACATTAGCTACATAACAAAATACACGTGAAAAAGAAATATGAACAATGCTATAAACGGATATAAATAAAAAAACGTAATAAATTTACAAGTAGACGGGAAATGGATTGTGTGAAAATAAGTAATAATTGGTATAAACTAATTATGCAATTAGAGTATATGGTATTAATAAATAATATTGTAAATAATGAAAATGCCGCGGAAGCATTTGAGTTATTTTTTTTCCAGAAAAAGTAAAATCCTAAAAAAATACTAAAGAGATGTATAAATTCATAATGTTACGGTGAATGAAGCGAAAAATTCCAACTAAAAACCAATGATGAATGTATGTGTGCGTGTACGTGTGAACGTCACCGTTGTACAAATTATCTACAAAATTATTTACAAATTGTACACAGTTATCTACCCGCAGATGGGACACTTGATGGTGCCGTCGATGTGCGGGCCGTGTATGCAACGCGCGCAGAAGGTGTGGAAGCAGGAGAGCAGGCAGGGCTCGTTGTAATATTCGTGGCAGATGCCGCAGGTGAGCGGATTCCTGGGCCCGCCGCCCGGCACGCCCGTCGTGCCGTCGTCGCCGACCCCGTCGACCGCCGAGCCCGAGCTCGCCATTGTCGTCGTCGTCGTCGTCGGCGCGCCGGCCACCCTGAACGCCGTTCAACTCCGCGCGCGCGGACACGCGCCTTCCGTCCTCCCTTCACGACACCGCTCCCTGTCCCATGCTCGCGCGCTCTGCGGAACAAAAACAAATGTTGGCTTTATCCAAATTGGATGCTGGACCCCGCGCGCGAGAATTTCACAGCGACGCGTAATCTGGAACGATGTTTACCACCTAGACCATTGGCCCGCCCACGAAGAGCCCCGTCCAGAGAGAGGGTGGTTTTATCGGCTGCTGCTCGCTCGGTCCGTCATTCTGACGTAGCGCGGTGGCGGTGACCAATCCCGTCTCTGCGCAACTGACGATCAGAACACTGACGTCACCGAAGCACCCACCGCCGGATCTCACTCGCGCCACCCGCCGTACACACGTACAACAGTATACATACATTTATATGGATACATGTGCATGTACGTGCAGAGATTCGCGCGGTCGACCCGGCTTGCTCGCTCACTCGCCTCCTCACCTCTCGCTGCCACCCCATTCCGCAGTCTGCACCACCCACTACCATATACATGTATTTACGTATAAACACACACACACACACACATGTATATATGTATGCGATGACGGAAACTATGGTACTGGTGCAGAAGGGTGCAAGCAAACGCCCGTCAAACAGGGCGGAGGGCACATTCTAAAAAAAGAAAAAAAAAATGTATTAATCGTGCAGTCCCTCCCTTTCGGCGTTTATTTAGCTACGACTAAATTTTCCTCACTGTCGCTACACGTGCGTACAAATGCATTCGATTTCCTGGTATCGATGATTTATCTCCTTCCGAAGGGAATCTTCGGAATAAACCAGCGAAATCTGCGGAGGATACCTCGCGCGTATCTAGGACGAGAGATTTGCGAAGCCGTCTTTTGATGCACAATATTTCCACCCCAAAGACGTTTTCCACTTTTTGCTTTTGCTATCGCGTCTCTTCGAAAATGAAAATTCCAGATGCCGTATGTGTGAAGCTGGCATATCATTTCGCGGAAACTCACAAATAATTAAGAGTTCTGACTTTATTTTCAATAGTTCTAGAGTTCCTGATAGTTTAAACAAATAGTTCTGGCCATTAAACCAACGAAAATGCCTCAGGACAAACTGAGACGCCAACTTCACGCAGCGTCTCACTTTGTCCTACGACATTTTCCTTGTCAATAATTGTTGGAAATTAAAAGATTTATAGTTCTACAAGAGTTCTAAGAAGAGTTCTGCCTTCTAAAAGCAAAAAAATATCAAAAGATAAAATAAGAACAAGCAAATCCTTATATCTATAGATATACAGATGAGACGCCGGCCTATTTTCAAGAGTTCTGTTTATTCTAACTTAGCTCTCGTATAGTTCTGGGCATGCACAATGTCTTTCCAAAGAGTTCTGATGGTTACAACAATTACAAATTAAAAAAAAAAATTATTTTATCCGAAAAACGTGTTTTTTCAAATGTAAAAGTGAGACGCTGGTCGATTTTCAAGAGTTCTGTTTATTCCAACTTAACTCTCATATAGTTCTGGGCATGCACAATGCCTTTCCAAAAAGTTCTGTATAGTTACAACAATTAGAAATTTTTTTAAAAAATTATTTTGCCCGAAAAACGTATTTTTTCAGGTATAAAGGTGAGACGCTGGTCGATTTTCAAGAGTTCTGTTTATTCCAACTTAGCTCTCGTATAGTTCTGGGCATGCACAATGCCTTTCCAAAAAGTTCTGATAGTTACAACAATTAAAAATTAAAAAAAAAAATTATTTTGTTCGAATAACGTATCTTTTCGAGTATAAAGGTGAGACGCTGGTCGTATTTCGATAGTTCTATCGATTTTAAATGACATTTTGCGTCAGGCTGTAATCACTTTTCATTTCTATGAAGAGTTCTATGCGTTATTAGAATGTTAATTAAATAAATTAATCTTTTGAAGCGCTGGACGTATAAATACCGAGCTATCGAGGTGAAACGTTGATTGTTTTTCTACGTCATGGATTAAAAAATTTTTATTTTACTGTGTAAGTATATTGTTTTAAATGTCCACGCCGTGATTCTGGATTATGCTAAGAACAAGATAAGTACATCTAAAACAATACACTTTCACATAATGAAATAAAAATTTCAAAATCCATGACGTAGAATAATGATCAGTCTCACCTCGATAGCTCAATATATATACGTCCAGCGTCTCGAGAGACCTAACTTGTTCAATCAACATTTTAATAACTTTTACGCATAGAACTTTTCGTAGAAATAAAAAGTGATTATACAAACTGACACGAAATGTCACTTGAAATCGACAGAATTATCGACATACGACCAGCGTCTGACCTTTATACTCGAAAAAATACGTTTTTCAGCCAAAATAATTTTTAAAAAAAGGTCAGTCTCACCTCGATAGCTCAATATATATACGTCCAGCGTCTCGAGAGACCTAACTTGTTTAATCAACATTCTAATAACTTTTACGCATAAAACTTTTCGTAGAAATAAAAAGTGATTACAACTGACACGAAATGTACACTTGAAAACGATAGAATTATCGACATACGTCCAGCGTCTGACCTTTATACTCGAAAAAATACGTTTTTCAGGCAAAATAATTTTTTAAAAAAAGGTCTAATTGTTGTAACCATCAGAACTCTTTGGAAAGACATTTTGCATGCCCAGAACTATACGAGAGCTAAGTTGAAATAAACAGAACTCTTGAAAATCGACCAACGTCTCACTTTTATACCTGAAAAAACACGTTTTTCGGGTAAAATAATTTTTTTTTAATTTTAATTGTTGTGACCATCAGAACTCTTTGGAAAGACATTGTGCATGCCCAGAACTATACGAGAGCTAAGTTGGAATAAACAGAATTCTTGAAAATAGGCCGGCGTCTCATCTGTATATCTATAGATATAAGGATTTGCTTGTTCTTATTTTATCTTTATTGATATTTTTTGCTTTTAGAAGGCAGAACTCTTCTTAGAACTCTTGTAGGACTATAAATTTTTTAATTTCCAACAATTATTGATAAGGAAAATGTCGTAGGACAAAGTGAGACGCTGCGTGAAGTTGGCGTCTCAGTTTGTCCTGAGGCATTTTCGTTGGTTTAATGGCCAGAACCATTTGTTTAAACTATCAGGAACTCTAGAACTATTGAAAATAAAGTCAGAACTCTTAATTATTTGTGAGTTTCCGCGAAATGATACGCCAGCTTCACACACACTCAGATGCCACAGTGAGTGAAATAATAAAAAATATAATATAATTCATCAATGTGGAAAAATATCGACAGAATTTTAATGAAAATAATCGGACATTATAAGATCACCTTGACCAAAATAATTACACGTTCTGAGCAAAAATTAATTTTGCTCGTTCACCGTTATCGCGACTAAGTTTTAACAATTGCACCGTGATGCATACTTTTAATTCGTTGCATTGTGCGGCGAACGCGTTGCCCCTCGAACGGGTGATTTTCCCGCTCGGTGTACAATGTACTTTCAGCTTGACCCATTGATGCATGTAGACCCGAATCTCGCTGCGGAAAGCTAACGCACCACAGAACGGGTCGAGAGTGCAACCATACTTCTCTTCCGCGTCACGAGAGCTCTCGCTTCCATCTGAATCTAAATTATCCAATTATCAATTATCTCCGTCTCAGCTCGGATTTGTCCTACTTGAGTTCCGATTTCTCAATTAAAGAGATTTGATTTGATTGGTCTATCTGTATCATTAATCATCATTGTTATTTCTTTATATAAAATTTTTGATCACACGCATACGCATATCAATTAATCGTGCAATATGAATTAACGATAGCAATAAAAAATTTTTACTTGAGTTGATAACGAAAAGTATCCGTGATAAAAGTACAAGTACAAGTACAAGTAATTTCCAAGGGCAGTAAAAGAATTTCAATCTTTATGTTCTCTAATGTTATTGCGAGATCTTCCACTAAGGCAATATTGAAGTCTCGATGGAAATAATTCCTTCTGCATTCTCCTCGCGTCCTTGTGAGAATGCCGGACCTTGGCGCTTTGCAATTTCTGCATTGCGAAGTTCTCTATTCATCGGTTTACAACAATCGATTCATAACGCGCCACGCTTCCATTGTTGGCAACTTGCAGATTAACAGGATGCATCTGCGGTCCTTTTCTTCTGCTTCTTACATCATGCTATAACTGCGTCCAACGATAATATTCTAAGCATCCTAAGAAATTCATTAAATTTACAATATGTATGCTACTACAAAATATCAATTTTAATTTCTTAGCAATACGATTAAAAAATTGACAATCTCAAAACTCAGATTTACGAGAAAAATTCTATTTCTTTTAAAATATAAACTTCTAACCTTAGATGTTTAATATTTGTCATTCAAATAAAAACTTGAGTTTTAAGAAAAATCTTTTACCATTTGACATTTTGTCAGTTTATTGATTACATAAGGAATGTGATTAAAAATCAATAACATAAAATTTCAAGTTCTTTAAAGATCTTACATTAAAGTAAAACTTCTTGAAACATCAGTCGTTCATATTCATTGTGCATTCGCCAAAATTGTTTTTAAAAACATTTTCAAGAAATACTTTATAATTATCTGTTATTAAATAATTGAATAATTTCAATCTTCATTGAAGCATTACTTCATAAAAAAGTAATTTTTTGGCCATGACAAGATCATATTCCCATAATTTATCTAAACAAGGTAACCAGCAGAGATACGTAAAATTCACTTGAACTTTATCAACAACGGAGACCATAATATATAAAAATCATAGATTGTAAACATACACAATAGACGAATCAACCAATTATAGTCAAGAATGTCGACCATAATTGGACAATTCTTTTTGATTACAAGTTCTACTGCATATGTTTTTTTATACGCCATGGCCGCGCCCGCGTCACTAGTGTTTACAATTCAAAGGCATGACGGATCAATAGTTTCCCTGTCGCGTATCCGTTCTGTATAATAGTGCTAATTTATTTTGTGATTGCGCCTAACTTTAAATATGCCGTCCCGTGGAGAGGATATCCTCAAAGGCTTTCAAGTGTATCCTTTACGATTCTTTTTTTTCAGCGCGATTCTTTCGAAATTGCAAAAGTTTGACAGGTTAGAATGTAGGTTATGATTGTATGTTTGCAGGTTAGAATCAAATGTCAAACTCAAACAATTTGGGATTCCAAGTCCAATAATGTGAAATTTGTTAATTTATGTGGGTAAAATTTATCGTTAAGCAAATATGTTTTCTTAACAATGCTTTATTAGTAATTGGATGAATTTGCGCGACGCTGACAATGGGAAAATCCTATGGCAGGGTAACGAAGATTTGTGAGTGATCTTTTGAAATCAGTTGCCGCACAACGCTGTAATAATACTAAGTTACACAGTTAACCTTATAATTGTAGATCTGTACCTGATGTAGAGCACGAGGCGCGTGTACCAAAGAAGATCCTGCGATGCCGCGCGGTGTCGAGGGAAATCAATTTCAGTTCAGCAGAGCCTATGGAAAGGTTTCGTTTAGAGCAGAAGGTATTATTCAAAGGCCGCTGCTTGGAGGAGTGGTTCTTCGAGTTTGGATTCGTGATTCCTAACAGCACAAATACGTGGCAGAGCTTGATTCAAGCTGCACCTGAGAGTCAAATGATGCCAGCAAATGTATTGAAGTAAGTGAAGACACACTGCGAATGCTTTGAGGTTCATGGATTAATTGTTTGTTTTTTTTTTTTTTACGAATAGCGGCAACGTTGTGATAGAAACAAAATTCTACGACGATGATCTCTTAGTGTCTACCAGTCGAGTCCGTCTCTTCTATGTCTAAGTTGATTTTCGAACGGTCCTCATAATCGCATATAACATGGGACCAATCAGTGTGAACAGAATATGTATGGAAGTAGAACACACACAAGTGAAAAGTTCTTACAAACAAATCGACTTTCCATCGTTATGATCTCTTACATTATGTGTTTGTTACACACGTGTTAGTGGTTTTGACAATCTCATAATTACATAGTAATTTACACAGTTAGATTTCAAGCGCCTTCTTACAAAATTACAGTTCTCTGTACAACTGCATTTTGATTTCGATATGGCCTAATATATATCTAGACTGCGTTTTTCACTTTTGGACATGTGTGAGGCATATCATAAGACATGCACTGTTAAGGCACACAATTTTGTTATTTATTAGGTATAAATGAATATAATAAGTTTTGTACATATTGTAATACACAACACCAAGCAATAAAGTCCTAAAAGAAGTTGAATTTTATATGCATTTTAACTTTTGCAATCTGATAAAATGGCGAAACTATCATATCTGTATTAAAAATAGTGTTAATTTTTAAAAAATTGTTATTAATTGTGACGTAAGTAAAATTACAGCGCTCTTTTCAGCAGAATACATCTCAGCATTTACGGAATTGTTATATCTTTCTTTTCATAAAAAAACGTTGACTGAAGGATCATCACCTGTTGCTATAAAAAATGCAATAAAATTGTAAAATAACAGGAAGAGATGTACAAAGCGCATTTGTCGACGAGAAATTTTTTTTTTCACGGCACGGTTGTGTTGTAACGGTCAGATATTGATTAGTGAACAAGCAAGACATTTTTTAGGCTTCACCACACCCCTTGAGGGGGTTCACACTGAATATACTCTGTTCCCTACTCTGCGTACGTCGTACAGGTGTAAGGAGGAAAAAAAACGAAGGAAATGAAGTCGCAATCTTCGGAAACATCGAAGTTGTCGCGCAGTTAGCTCGAAAACTAAAGAAACTTTTTCGCGTTCCGCGCGCGATCAAGTCAATTGCATTCGACCTGACGATTTCTCGCGGAGGAACAGCAGAATGGACTTAAATGAGGAGGACGAGAGCGGCAACGATGGTGGCAGGCAGCTATTTTTGGTCGGCGCTCCACGCGATCCGCTTGTGTCAGCCGGTGCGATCGTGGCTTCGGCCGCCGGTGTGTCCGACGACATCAACCAGAGCGACGATCTGCAGTCGACTGCCTTGGCCGGTCTGATCGGCGCCGCGCAATCCACCTCGGTTTGCTTCCCGACGAAATTCAGTAAGTGCCACGACGCATCGTGTGTCATTCCGGATCTGATTTAATTAACCGTCTCTGTCTCCCGCGACTCCCTCCCCAAATTGGGGGTAGCCTTGCTCAATTAAGTTATTGCTAAATGCATTAAGTGGATCCGCAGCTAATCCTTTTTTCTTGAATAGAGTTAGCGGTAATCAGTTTAGCAGTTATGAAGCGATCCCGATGTGAAATCCGAAGGTGCATCGCGTCGCCTTGGAATACTTAATCAACCGGTGCTCGCAATTACGTTCCCTTATCCGTAAACGGTGTTGCGCGCGGTGTCGGGTCTCCTGTCTCGGGTCAGATCGCGACAAATAAACTGTCTTCTCGCAGCGTACGACTTTTCGGCCAGCCCGGAAAACGAGGAGAGGCCGTCCTGCGTCATCGGCAAGAGGAAGCAGCGCAGATACCGCACCACATTTTCCAATTTCCAGCTGGAGGAGTTGGAGCGCGCCTTTCAGAAGACGCACTATCCCGACGTGTTCTTCCGGGAGGAGCTCGCAGTTCGTATTCAGTTGACGGAAGCTAGAGTGCAAGTAAGCTTCTGCGCGTCTATCCTCGTCGCGTGTGTATTAGCGTTTTGGAGTATCTAGCTTTGACTTTCCCTGCGACAGGTGTGGTTCCAGAACAGGAGAGCGAAATGGCGCAAGCAGGAGAAGCAGTGTAAGATCGCGACTCACATGACGTCGCATTTACCGCCTACGGATTGCCAGGAGGTGCAGCAGCAACACCAATCGCAACAGTCCGATCACTTGCTACTGGAGTCACCGTGCAGTCCGCCTCCGATATACCTCGGCATGGAATGGGCGGGTTTTTCTCCTTACAACAACGCGGACAGCGCGTCGTCCCTTATTGTGAGCAACATGAGCAAGCCGCCAGAAGCAGAAGCCGATAATAACCCGCTGCTCGACCCGGAATTACTGCAACTAAAACCTCCACGTTCCTAATAATATTAAGAATATACATAAGAAGACAATATAGATAACATTATTCGATATGAATAACACGCTTCCTGAGAAGTTTCTGCGCTATTTGTTACTTGCAATTATTGTAATCGCGAATGCATCCAAGATGCACTTTCCGATTGTTCAAGAGTTTTTAGACTGTTGCGTCGGATTATATTGAATTACACTTAAAAAATAAGAATTTTAAAGCATGAAGATGTATATCGTATTGTTTAAAGATACGCCACGCAGAGCCTTACTATTTATTAGAAGAATCACACTGCGATCACTCTTGGACTAAGAATGGTGTTATATATATAGATTTATATATATATATATACATATATATATATAGATTTTGTAAGATATAGATATATAGATATATATATGTAGATACCGAATTGTTCTATTTCGGGCGAGTTAAGTAGATCCTACGAAAGGAAGCAATAAATTTGTATTACGTATAATAAATTACTCTCTATGCAAGATGTGTTATTCCAAATATAAAATAGTAACATCATCTTTATTCAGTGTGCATATATTACAAGTCAGTAAATTAATTAAGATATTTATTAATCGATTGATCCTAGGAGCAAATAAGCGAGCTAAGATGCACTTCCCGATTTTTCAAGCGCTGTGATAAATTCGCTTCGTGGGCCCTCACTGAGCATTTCTCTTTTTCCTATTTGAAGAATTCGTTGAAGCGAATTGTGTAATTGATAATTGCCGATCATTTTCAACAATTTTCAACGAAATGTTCGAGGCGCATCTCGAGTGAAATAAATTAGTGACAGATGTTAAGAGGCTACGCGATATATGAATACTCGTCCGCACTATTTGGCGTACGTTCAATGTATTGTTTATCTATTAGAGTTTCAATGCACTTCTTAATCATTCCAATGGAAGGTGCGAATGTGACTTTCGATTGACTCAGAACCTGAAAAACAGCAGAGTAGTTTACATCAATATCTGGCTTCCGAATAGCTATTGCGGGCTTCGCGCCCAAACTGTGCAAAAGTGCTGACTCACCTCCTGTATAAGTTGATTGTGTCTCAACACCTTGCGACTCTTCATGATGCGAACTATAGCTGCTTGTAGAAACATTTTCCTATCCTCGTCCACGCTGCGATGCGTGGCCTCCGCGTCCTGCGGCGCGTCCCGCTGCAACACACCGGTCACGCGGAACTTGGTTCTCTTATTGGAGTAATCGAAATTGAGCATGAGAATAGTGTCCTCATCCAACTCCACGCCCGAAGATCTGTTGAGAATTTTACAGTCTACGAGGCTGCCGGCATGTTTCACAAGTTGTTCGTGCGACAGGCTTAACGATGCTGCTACCTCCTTGCACGGCAACGCGTCACACTTTTCAAAGAGCAGCAGCAACGCCATTTGATACGTCTGCACGGTGACGAGGTAAGGTTTTTTCAAATAATTGAACTTAAGCTCGCCTTGGCTTAAGTGATGCAACCACGTCAGCTTCCGTCCGCTGAACTGCATGTGATAAAACGTCTCGAAAGCCTGTATCGATTTCTCCAACTGTTGCGGAACGTGAAACGGACCGGGCGATGGAGGTAAACCGAGTGGCCACGCGCCGGCTTGCAACACTTTCACTCCAAAACCAGTGCCTAATTGATTTTCTCCGTCGCCTTCTCGCAAGGTTGCTGTGAACTTTGCATTGAGATCCGCTGAGACGGACATATCCGTAAACATACGATGAAGCTTGTTCGTGAATTCATAACCACACGCCCGTTTTAAATCGTCGATCATCATCTCTTCCGCATCCATCGACTGCGATTGCTGGTGTATCAACCGCTTAGCCAGCATACGCGAATAGAACTTCTGAAAAACATCTTTGTCGTCTACGTATTTGAATACAGTTATAGAACGCCTTAGTTTATCCTCAATTTCACTTTCGGAGGCAGCCTTGGGAGATTTTTTCAGCAAGGAATCGCAATATTTCGCCAGCTAAACAAAACATAGACACCATTGCACTACAAGTTATAATATGATGATAAGCCAAAATTATCAATTGCTTTTAAGAAACTTACCAATTCTGGCGCTCGGACTGGTTGTTTCGGAACGGGCCTATAATTCACAATAGCAGAGCAAGCTTTATCAAGTGCACCTACGAAGCTTTGATCTGCCTTGAACACATCCTTGATCAGTTCAGAATATTTAGAATGTACATTTAACATATTTTCCACAAACTGTGTGTACACCTGAAAATTAAAAATTTACATTTTCTCACACTGTTGCGCAAATATGCGCATTTAAATATTCCATGTTATATTCACATTTTCTCCTTGCAGAGGTCCAATCGCTTGCAGTCCTTGCTGCGTGATGTGACGAGTGAGCTTTTGTACAAGTGGATCTAAGCCTCCTGATAAAGGCTTCAGAAGTGGGTAAAGAAGAGCTAAATCTCGCTTACTCTCATTTTTTATCATCGTCTCTGCTTCCGTATAAAGCCAATGGGCTTGTGCAGCTACCATTTTCTGCTCACAACACGCTCTAACCTGCAACAAAACGTTGCTGATTACATATCATTCACTGTCACAAAGTCACTGATTTCACATGAAGAACAATAACGCACTTGTAATACAGAACTCTTGTGAAGGAATTTATGCGCTCGCTGCTCCTCTTGATTGAGTATCATTGTTACTTTTTCCATATAACGTGTAACGTCTGACTGTTGCAGCAAGCCTGATGCTTCTGCCGTATAAAAGTCTCCGCTAGCTTCTAGAAAAGGTGCCTCGAAAATTTCTTGATACAACTGGCCGAAAAATAAGAGTTAATTTAGTAAACGCTTTTCGAAAGAAAAAACACTTTTCTCACAAAAATTGAAATCTTAATTATTAATGCAATAATGTATTACATGTAATTTTCCTTTCATCTTGTATTCTTCGACCCGCACGAAACTCTGTATAACACCACATATCACGTCGGTGCCGACAAACTCATATTTCGAATCTCTATCGGCGCTGATACATATGAGTAGAAAATTGACAAGTTTCTCCCTAAGTGGCATTATCATCTTTCTCTTCCAAATGTCCAAACCTAGCGCACCGATCTCCATCTGCTCCTGGCACTCGTCCGCGTTAGAACTCGTGCCATAGATGAGTTCCGCTTCCGAGAGCTTCTGCTTCTTAATGTGTTGCTGATTGAGGTATAAGTACAAGCTGTGCAAGTAATAAATGCCTTGCGAATACTCTGTCCAGGCGCGATGGTACGCCGGCAGCAGGTTCAGTTTATCATTGTACTGGACCTCTGTCAATAATTTTTCTACATGATTGATCAGAAACCTCTTTGTTTCATTATACAAACGGTCTGCCAATGGTTCAGGATATGCGACGCACAAAGAGTAAACATCACTGCAACCATAACGTACATTTAATATATATTTTCCTGTTTCGATGATTAAATAAAATATCAGATCTTATGTAAATACCTAAATCTGTCGTTCCATGTAGCGCGTGGTATATTTGCTAATGTTATCACTCCTTTGACAGTCTCTTGTAATATATCCCAAGTCTGCTTAAAGTCTACTTTCTTGGGTTTTAGTGACATTCTTTCCTTTGATTCAAAAACTATTAACTAATAATTCGATTTCAGTACCAATTGGTTACTAATTCTACAAGCTGCACTCACACCACAAACCTGCAAAACAATGAAACTATAAAATTCATAATTCTATTGGAATTTATGTAAACACATACACTACAAGTGACAGAATTTATTTAAAAACGAACAAATTCTCTAAAATTTAGACGAATAAAAGCTATGCATCGAGTGCATTCCAAGAATAAATCTCCGAATATAGACAAAGCTGAGCTTGCAAAAGCTTTGTCCGAGTGTTTTGCATATCATCGGTTTAAAAATAACGTAAAAGTAAAATACACCACACACACGCGTCTTACGGCCGTTCTAATTCTCTGCCGTTACACCGCTTCGAATTTCTGTACAAAGAAATCATTTCTTCGAAGATCTTCGAACTTTAAATGACCTTAGCAAGGTATGAAACTATTCAAACATAAACATTCGATTTGAATCGACAATCGAGAGTGCTCTAATGGCGTACACTTTTGCCGCGTTATGGTGAAAGTGCGAGCGCTACGCGTTGCGAAATATCGATTCGCGGACAAAGGGAGACACCAAAACCGAAATATTCTCAAGATAGTTTCGGGACGATGACGATTTCGAAGAATCGCACTGTCGCGCGCGGGCTGCCTGGGTTACACGTGTGTGTGCGTGTCTACCATTGAGAGCCACAGCTGACTGGCTCGTCATCGGCTCCAGATGGTCATGCCGTGCCTAACCAACTAACCGAAAAATCGTGCTAAGAGCCGTCCTCCGCGCTCGGCGCGTACCGCTGCTGCGTCTACGCAATGACGAACTGTACTGAGCCGCTTATTTTCGGGGCGGGGGCGCGAGTCATTCCCTGATGCGACGAGATGCATGACACTCGCGACGACTCGTCGCGGTCGAACGCATTTTTTCGGGGAAGAAAGAGAGAGAAAAAGAGCGCCTCTTAGCTTCCGTCTCGTCACCTGTTTTCTTCGCTAAAATATCCTCGCGCGCGCGCTCGCCTCGCTAAATTTTGCTGCTCCTCGACGTACGGATTGTTATCGCCGATGATCTCTGCGAGACGGCCACCCTTTCCCGCCTGTCTCGGCGCGAAACGTCCCACACGAACGCACGACACTCTTCTTCTTCCACTCGCGAAATCCTCAATAACATCGCGCGGCCATGCTCTTTTTACAGAAGCGCAAATACGGCTCTGCAGGTATATTCGGCGTCATGGATGCTTATAGAGCTGAATGAAGTCAAGCATTGAATTAACTATGAACTAAGAATGACTAAATGATAGAGTTGACTGTAACCCTTGTACGATTGGTGCGGGTTAATACAGGCGTGTCAACAGTACGCGGTAGCCAATTAATTTTCTATCTTGTTTCTTTTATGCAGTAGCATATGCGTTTCTATATTGACCACAATTCATGGTAGTGACTCGCAATTCGTCGTGTTCCCGCTACCGTGTAACCGCAGTGTGTAACTAATTGTGGATATTGTATTGTAGAGGGTCAGGGTATTATCACGAGAAAATGGTGAGTATTTATCTATTAAAGAATATTTTTTTACGCTCCATTTCGTTATCTTGAGAAAGCATTTGTCTTTCAATTAAACGTATTTGCGAAACAATCGGAGACAGTCCGTCGAAAAGGTTATGTTACTGTCAATCGTACAGATGACATTGCACGTTTCGCGATAAATGGGTAGAATAAACCGCGAACTACTGCATTTTATGTGCATTTTAATGTAATGCTTTTTTTTATAGAGTATTCTCGCGTACAACGGCGGTGCCGTGATTGCCATGAAGGGCAAGAATTGCGTGGCCATCGCGGCCGATCGCAGATTCGGTATACAAGCGCAGACGATAATGTGCGATTTCCAAAAGATCTACGAGATGGGACCGCATCTGTACGTCAGTCTGCCCGGCCTTGCCACCGACACCCAGACCGTTATAGAGAGGCTACGCTTCCGTTTAAATCTTTATGAGCTAAAAGAAAATAGAAGGATTCATCCGAAAACGTTCACAGCCATGGTATCGAATCTCTTGTACGAAAGGAGATTCGGGCCATACTTTGTAGAACCCATTGTTGCTGGGTTGGATCCTGTTACAGCCGAACCATTTATCTGTAACATGGATTTGATAGGATCAAGAAACATAGCTGAAGATTTTGTAGTAGGTGGAACATGTACAGAGCAGCTTTATGGTATGTGTGAATCACTGTACGAACCTAATTTAGAACCCGAGGCACTATTTGAGACTATCAGTCAAGCTCTAGTAAATGCATTTGATCGCGACGCAATATCTGGATGGGGTGCTGTTGTTCATGTTATGTAAGTATAATAATAATGGTGATGAATTGAATTTGACAATGCATTTGATATTTTGATATATTATACTAATTAAATACACTGTTTTGTTTCAGAGAGAAAGATAAGGTCACAAAAAGGACTATCAAGACAAGAATGGATTAAATATTTCTTTTTTTACATCACTATGTATGGCAAACATTTCATAATAATTATTGTAATTAATTCTAAGAAATATAAACAAAAACTTATACAATTTAATCAATTAAATTCCTAATATCATTTTCTGTCAAAATCAACTGAAAGAAAAGCACTTGGAATTCTATTTATAATTTATATATCACATTAATTCTTTAGCGAATTTTTGTGTCTATCTGTTATGTTTCTTGATTGAAATTTTTATTTTTCTGCCTAGTGTCACTTTTTTCTAATTTGACAATGAAAGAAAAGTATTCTTATGATTTCATTTCAATAGTAATGGGATGAGAGTCTAAAAACGTCCTAAAAAAGATGTTTTTTAATTTCTTTAACAATCGACATTTTTAATTTTGCAACAAAAAAACTTCAAAAATTTTAAAAGAGATTTTAATTATTTAAGTATTTTACGAACATCCTAATACTGTCAAAAGTAGTCCAGAAGTACGTAGAAAAATTAAAATTATGCATTGGCCCGCATTTTAGCCGGGATCGACAATTGTTAACAAGAAAACTGAACTCGTACAAACTCCTAATCATCATGTATTCCTATTAACAATTTCGTAAACTCACCGATGACACCAGAGGATCACTCTGGACTCTGGATGAAACGTGCGAAGCGATGATGTTGCCATCTAATGTCGAGGATAAGAAAGTAAAAGAAAATGGGTTATGAGTTGTGTTGCATGTTATGTGATTGCAAATAAATTAATATTATCGACAAAAAATCTATCACTGCAATGTCGATCAATACTTTGTGTGCTGCATTTCACAGAATTACAGTTCGCAGAATAAGTATGTATATTTGACAGTTTGTACTTACATAATAAAATAAAGTGATAAATTATAACCTAACATTATTTACTCACATGTATTTTATAATATTGATCGGTTGTTAACATATTGAATTATATTATGTAATTTTAGGTACTGCTGCAAGAAGGTATTATTCAACGCAGCAATGTAAAAATCAAACCTGTGATTTGAACGTTGTTTCTCGTTTGACATCCTGTAGTTATGGTACGTCACATGGTACAGATTCAGGGTACAGCATTAAGTTTGTACCGGGAACACTTAACATAGACTTTGGGATGCCTGCAAATAGTGGTTTAATAAGAAATATTATTGAAATGCCTGTTGCAAGGATTCCTCCATTGCAAGATCCTACAAGCCGTTTACCCATTCAGTATGATTCTCCTGTGCCAGAAAAGTCTATGGATTTACCTACAAGTGAAAAAATCTTTGAGAAACAAGCAGTACGTTTAATAATAATTCGGCGTAAGAAAATAAAAAAACACAAACGGAAGAAGCTACGTAAGAGAATGAAATATGTATGGGCAAAGATAAGACTAAGGCGAAATCAGAAGAGAGAGAAAGAGTTTCAGGCTGGATTAATTGCTAAGGTGAAGGAGGCACAAGCGTTTGACGCTAAAGAGTATGTTAAGGAAAAACTTCATATTATAAACAAAGAAAAGATACCAAGGACTTATAGAGGCGAAATTTTGCCTACTGAGATGATTAAAAAATTTTTAGACGAGAAAAAAGCACGAAAAGTTGCTAAACGTAACAAACCTCGCTTAACTTTGTAATGTATGTATAAATCATGGCAATAAAATTTTATTGAAGTGGTAATTTCATATCTTTTGTAATTTATATTTAGAAAGTAAAGTAATTCAAATGCTTTTCTCTCTCTTTCTTGAGTAAGTTCCTTTACATAGACGAACGTTATATAAATTGCATGATTAAAATGGTTTTTGCTTCTTTTTACAGTAATATCTGGTCTTCCTTAACGTCTAAAATTTTGGCTTGTTGCTCATATTAGTTAAATTGTTAGCTCTACCAGGGAAAAAATGACAGAGAAGAACAGAATTAAATGAGCAATGAATATATTTCCTATTTATAAAAAAATACAGTCATTTATTCTTATACATAACAATCGCATTAAGACATTTCTAGATATACAAATGATGAGAACTTTTGTGCCTTCATTCACTATTCAATATTATAATCCTTAGATCGTACATGATAATGATAGATGATAGATATTCGGTTTATTTTTTCGTAATAAATATAAACTTGAGAATTCTCGATCTGATTCTGCAAATCTTAATTCCTACAAGACTGCATGAATTTAAAAAATAGTTTCTATAATATAATATGACCTCTATAATTTCGTGTTTGTCATAGGACTGCCGCTGCTGTCATTACACTCTCTCGCGCTATTCGCATACATACATTATGATTTAATACTATGATATAATAAATAGCACCTTCTTTCATTTGTGTAGAAATTCATTAATTAAATTATCAAGGCATTGATTTTCTTTTTCGCTTTATATGCTCATAAGCGAAATTGATGATGCTAATTAAAATGTATATTTTTGCTAATTTGTTCAAGTAATATTTTGTATACATGAGTGATTGATATTGTGAATAAATTTAATACCAGTTAATTATACGTAATCAATCACTTTCATGCTTTGTGAACAAATATGTGTGCTCAATACTGTAAAAATATTTAATATCATATATAACAAAAATATGATAATTTTTTTTTAATTTTCTTTATATTTTAAAAGAATAATGCGTATAGATTTTATTATGTCTCATCATTGCCAATTGTTTAAAAATTGTCATTTCTATTATCTGTTTCTGTCATCTGTTAAAAAACTTCTAATTTCTTAAAACGTTACATTTGTTACACAAAGCAAACGTCAGTTATTTGAGTACTTTGCCGATAATATTAGTTTTGTACATAAAAATAACATTCTTAATTTTTGTGCCTCAGTATTCATGGCAGTCACTTTACATAAACCTAGTTGCTACAAACAAATGCTTTCCTTTCTCCTAACTAAGTAGATTCTTTTACATAGGCACATAGATGTTTTTTTTATAAAAGTAATTAAAATCGTCTTTCCTTTTTTTTTACGGTAACATCTGACCTTTCTTAATGTCTAAAATTTTTGGCTTGTTGTTCATACTAGTTAAATTGTTAGCTCTGCCAGAGAAATAATCTTCGATCTCCTGCAACGTTTTCCCTTTGGTTTCCGGAAGACACAGGTAGAAGTATATCGTTCCGAACAAGGATATACCACCGTAGAGAATAAACGTGCCGTGACGAGTGAGCGCGCTCGCTAAAAACGGATAAGTTTTGACCACCATAAAGATAAACAAGTGCGCGCACATGGTAGTCAAACCGCCGATGATGCCACGTACTTGCACGGGGTAAACCTCGCCAATCATCACCCAAGGAATTACCAAGAAACCCAGGGTGCAAGTAATGGTATACGAAAATATACACATAACGGGAAACCACGTGGCTACGAATGGTATATTATTCGCAACCCAATATTCCTTCAGCCACATGTAGCCGCCTAATCCTACCATGGAGAGCCCACAGCCAATAGAAGACACCATCGTGAGCGGTCTCCTGCCGCATTTTCTGCACAACACGCAGGCCACGATCGTGGAGGTCAGACGGACTATTCCCAGGATCACCGCCGCCAAGTATTTATTCATGCTCGCCCCGGAGTCCTTAAAGATCTCGACGGCGTAGAAAGTGATGACGTTAGTCCCCGACCATTGGTATATAAGGAAGTAGAGGAACAGCAAGGTGAACGGCTTCAGCGCGCTGGGCTGCAGCATGGCGCGCGCGATCTCCTGGAACCCGGTGAGTCGCTTGATATTGTTCTTGTTGGAGAACTCCACCAGCGTGTCCATCTCCCGCTTCACGTTGTAAGTACTGCCGCGGAATTTTTCCAGCGCCTCCCGCGCTTGTTCCGGCTGGTTGCGCGATATGAGGTAGGACGGCGTCTCCGGGAAGAAGAACATCAGCAGCAACGCGGTGAACGGCAGGATGCTGCTGATGGCCGCGCAGACGTTCCACGTGAAAACGCTGCCAAGAGCGTACTCGATCAGCACCCCGGTGCTGACTCCGACGCTCGCCAGCGCGGTCAGCATCCCCCGCAGGTGTGGCTGCGTCACCTCGCTGGTGTAGACGCGGGCCGGTGCGCCCACCATCCCCGATCCCAGGCCGACGAAGAACCGGCCGGCGTATATCATGTGTATATCCGTCGAGAATGTGATCAGCAGCCAGCCGAGCAGCGCCGGGATCTCCGTGATGATGAGCGAGCGCTTCCTGCCGAACATGTCCATCATGTAGCCGGACATCAGGCAGCCGATCGGCGTGCCGATCGAGGACATACTGGCTGCAAAGGCAAGAGAAACCGAGACGTTAATATATTTCTTTATATTATATATATATAAAATATAATAAAAATAAAATCTAAAAATTATACTCCGGCAGAGAATTCCCCTAAAAATACGTACCGATCCATGATTCCTCCGTCGATCCCTCCTCAATAGGTATGATACTATCAGGTTCCTGGAGTTGTGGAAGAGCGATGGCGGAGAAACCGAACGTCATACCCGTGTTGATGGTACCAAGCTGGGCCACCAAAGCGGCCAAAACTTGCCGGACAGCACTTCCTCGTTGCATCCGGCCGCTTTCGGGATCACCGTTCGGAATCGCGCCGTTCGCGCCATCGCCGTTCAGGTTCGTCTTCTCGTCGGCAGGCAACGTGGACGACTGAATCTTCGGAAGCAAGGTCGAGTCCACCAGCGAAGTCTTCTCCGCGTCCTCGCCGGCGCTGCAATCCTTTCTGCAATAGAACGCCGATCGGTGAGTGCAAATCGATTATAACACGAAGAAAGATGGAACTTTTAATAGTTTATAATAGCATATAATAAAAGTCGCGGCGTTATCTGTGACGATTTCATATGCGTATGCATGCGGAATATTAATGACAAAGGCCAGAATTTTGCATTCGCGATATCCCTTATCGCGAATGCTCGGCGGCTTTGTAATAGTCAAGAGTTTCAAAGCACAAGGATACAACTTCCAGTGGCAGTACATAAAATAGTTTTTACTGAAGCGTTTGATTTATTGGTTTTTGTTGAAATGACAGTGAAAAAACAGTGAAAGATAGCGATAATAATAATGCGATGACATATCATTTACATACAAGTTCATAAAAAAATGATTGAGACGGAGTTTATTATTCGTTATTCATCAAAACACAATTTGCAAGTCTGCAATAAACTTTTTCGAGTTTTTTTTTTCATTTTGCATCGCGCACACGACTGATATAAACATTGGTTCGTTGCTATTTATCGGTTTGGCGGAGTAGATAAGAATTATTTTTGTTCATCGGAGATAGCGCGGCGCATGTCGAACGTTGGAGGGATGTTTAACGCAAAATTTTCCACATTAATTGCAAAATAAAAAGTAAGTCAATTAGTCACAGTCGATAATACGGCAGTCACAAGCGCGCTTAAATGCCAGCGCCTAATCGAGTTGGTGCAAATTTGGCTCGGATTTAACGTTACTAAAATTAAAGCCGACCTAAATGTTTAACAGCTCATCGAATTACTGCATTCGGCGTACGAATAACGTCGCACGGTGTCTCGAGAAAAAGGAATAGTTGAGTTTCTCACGACTGAATAAAATAAAAAATTGCTATTGAATGAAAACGTCGACAATTTGTCTATAATAAGTAATATTTTATTTTTAAATTTAAAAAAATTTATCGGTTAACGCAAAGTACTACGAAATGCTTATGGAAATATACACGATGTTTACGAACGTAGCGAATGTCGTACAATGGCTCTACTGTTGGAAGGATAGCGTCTGCTTCGCGAGGATTACGAAATGAAATCTTCGCGAGGCAGCAGAGACGATGATTAGATTTCCCTCGCAGGCTGTGTGCCGGGATGACATAATCGCCAAGCATCACGACGACCTTTAGAATAGCAGAAAAACCTGTTACCGATTAGGTGTGCATTACACTTGTATATTAGCCTGCGACAACAAAAGCGACCATTATCATTCGCCGCGTGCGATAATCTCAAGTTAAAATATCGAGCGAATAAGCATTAGCAGTAGAAAAAAAAAACAACAGCTGTAATCGTTCGCGCAAAATAATACGAATTTACGAAGGTGTTGCGCAAATTTGCGACGAGATAATTGTTCCGTTTCTCTATTCTTCTTCCGTTTGCTATTTTTATTCACAAAGCCGCGAATAATATTTTTATGAATATTCATTATCGAGAAAGCGATTTCAATTGGGAATACATACGTGCCGGAAACCGACATTTTCCGCAATTATAGGAAATATCGAGCAGTCGGCGGACCATTCGTTGCACAACCGCGTAATCGATATCTTCGAATCTTCCCCTTGTTACTTTTACTCGCAACACACACCTGTGTCCACAATCATCATTGCTTCACGAAGATTGGCAGTGCATTAGTATGTCACTTGCGGACACGCGCGCGGACAATCGACTAATGAAATTTATCCATTACATTACTATCTACGCTTTCAGCAAATTTATATCTGCTTTCGTTATTGCACTTACACATTAATCATCTTCCATTGCGTTTTTCATTTGTCATCCTGCTTCCTCGACGCTTCGTTAATAAATACAAATTATTTTGTATCGTATATGCGATAAATTTTTTAACTTCAATTAATCTTGTAGTTATTTTTCAATCTTATTTTTAACACGTCGAAAAATAATTTTATTCGTGCATACATTCGTGAAATATCGCATTGATCGAATTATTACAAATGCAAAACTACTCCACGGTTGACGACCGAAATTTGCATATTTGATTTCGCACGTATTCCAGAGACTTTTAAAACGCAATTCCAATCGTTGGACGAAAACAAAACTTGCATACGGTATGTGTACATACGCGCTTGTGTTTTCGAACAGCTGTGATCTCTCAAGTTGTTTTATCATGTAGCGTTCCATCCGCGACGTTCATTCACATCGCGGAAATTTTTCTTTCTCCGATTCGCGATGATTTTCGCATAATCGTACGCGAACACGTTTTACTACTTTTAAGGCATTATCGGAAGTCTCGAAATAATCGAGACCTTGAGATACGCGTGACCTTAATATTCGATTCCGACAGAACCGAGATTAAAACAAATCTTCGATGAACCGAATTTTAAATTCGGAACAAATATAAAATTATATTCGCGAATAAATGTGAAGTACAAGATTATGAGATATCTATAATATTTTCACATAGAATGATACTAATATTTGCAAAATATTTACAAATACCCGAAAGTATAGTGCTAAGTCAAATTTTGGCCGTCAATCAAAGAATAGTGCTTTACGACAATTCGATCAACGTGATATTTTACGAACGTATGTATATCAGTCATCAACATTCGCCTGAAAAATTGGCGACGGCATAACGTCCGGAATTTTCAGAATGCCAAGTGGAAAAGTGTTTTCCGAGTATCGCGCCAAAGTGACGCTTATCAACAAAGAACCGTCGCTGTGACAGACAAAGTGGTTCCGAGGTGATTCACGTGTCGTGTGTGTTTCGGGCGCGGACTTATTTTTCTTCGCGTGTACCTTGACTTTGTATGTATTGCAAGGCCGTATGAATGCAATGGGGCACTTTAAGGGGCTCGTACGGAATTAGAACGCGGTTTCGCAATGAGATCTCCCATCGGACGTTGTCTCGCACCCGACCACCCGCGTCGCGTGGCGGAATTTTCCACCGAGCATTTATTAAACGCATTTATTTACCCGCAGAGGCGAACAAAACGACAACTGGATAGCCTTCACTTGTCAGAAACATCGTGAAAGCAACAGCAGCGGAAACAGTCATGTCGAAGTTAATAAAATTCAATTTCAAATCGTCTGCGATGTTTTGCGCAAAAATATGAAGCAAACACTCGTATTACAGATTTTTTCGCAATTATTCGACGAGCGAAATAATAATAAAGACATTTTGTTGGACGAGATTCGGCTCGTTGCTTTTTAATAAAATTACATAAGTGAATTACATTCACTTATGTAGTCTTAATTAGAGTGTCTTAATTAGAAAACAATAAAGAATAAAAAGAAATGGAAAAGCACTGCATCATGTTATGTATAGAATATTTGGAACAAGTGCATAAGAATCGAGCTACAACTTGGCAGTGATTTCATCGCTGGCGTTGTGTGATTACTTTATCATATCACATACAGAATTGTTCATGAATGTGAAGCAGATTAAAAATATTCCTTCAACTCGTCTCATTTAAGCGGTGTAGTGAAAATAATTATTTGTTTGAAACATGAAATATAATATCGATAATAATAATTCAAAATTTGTGATCAAAGTTTGTCTAATTTTATCAAAAATTTATTACAAATTGAATCCAAAAGATCCTTTTATCGGAAAAGAATTAATATTTTTACATAAAAAAAATATTAAAATATCAAATATTTTGTGTCTTCTTTCAAGAAAAGATAATTGAAAGAATTATTGATCGTTAAACTGTTCTTTGCAATAGGCAGAAAGAGAAAGAAAATTGAACATGTGCAATAAGCAGGCTTCAAACAGCTGATTTTAGCATTTAAAATTTTTCCATTTGCAGAAGCTGGCAAAATTCGCGAGACGGTGCCAAGCAGATTCGCGGATGTTGGCACGGCGCGGCACAAATCATGCGATATTTTCGTGTCCATGCCAATCCGCGTGCGAAGGTTCAAGTATAATAGTATAATACACTGCGTCTTTCTCTCTCTCTCTCTCTCTCGAACGCGTCCCCGATATTAATAGTCTAATTACATCATGCTCTGACGAAGGTAAATGCGAAACGAGGAGACCGGCAACCGGCGGTTGTAAATCGTTTCGGAGCAACATTGTAACGCGTTGCGAAATACGGTAATTTTACGACAAGTTGCAACGACAATTAAATCAGCTTGACGAGTCTCACGCCGATCGTTCAGCAATGCGGACTTCCGTACGAATCGTGTAAACGATCGCACGTGACGGTGTCCCGCGAGTGCGAGTAGGCTTGCGGTTCGCTACGCACACACGACAGTGTTTTAAAGGCTTTCACGTCTTCCTTTCGCGTCTTTGTTCGCCGGCTGGTGTGTCGCTGAAGTTCAATGTTACTTCACACTTGGCAGCACGGGATTGCGTCAGAGATAATTCTGGACTGCGGCGGAAAAAGTTTCCCCCGACGCTCAGGAGAGCAGTGGAATCTGGAAGGCTTTTGATCTCCGGCGTGTTTCTTGGTAGTTCTCGTCGGTTGATTTATTTCTCTAGACACCGCGAATCTAAGCAGACTCCGAGATCTTTCCTAATATGCGCGCGATAACGTGTCTCTCCTATTCTTCCCTACGCGAGACGCCGAGTCACGCAACTGCGTGCGCCGGTGACGCGGATCTTATCATCGCTTTTAACGTCGTATTATTTTCGAATTTACGTTCATGAAAAGTTGGGCGCGAGGGGGGGGAGGACAAGTGTCGTTTCTCACGAAAGGCCGCATTACCGTCGCTTAAATACGACGCCAAGTGGAAAGCTTGACGACAGCATCGCCGTTATTGTTCACGCGTTTTTCCGCTTCGTTTCCCGTATTTTGCCTCGGTTCCTCGTCGCCGGTAATAAATTGTCTTCTCGCAAGGCCACGATCGATCGACTCGAGAGCTTTTTACGACCGTTTTCTTCCTCATTTACTTTAATAGCTCATATTTCCCATTTCCATTTGCGCATTACCATAATTACACGATTCGCGTCATTGCGAAAGAAAAAAGAGGTGAGCGTTCTTCGAACAATATCGTTGTCAATGAAGTTGGAATGTTACAGATAGATCAATGTCTGTTGGCAATCTGAGGAAATTAAATCCATTATACACAATTACGTGTTCTCGGAGTAATAAAATATGAATACAAATAATTTAAACGAATGTAATTCTAAGCACGCAACGTTTTAACACTGTTCTTTCGCAGTGCAAATTTTTTACTTCCGGTCTATGACAATGCACAATTAAAGTCGTGTGTCGATGCGGAAGCCCGAGAGGATTCGCATTATTAAACGCCGATTAATGACGTAAATAGTGAGAACAATATCGCAATTACGATATCGACAATCCATCGCGGCGAACGGACCATCTGTCATCATCTGGTATCAACCGACGCAGCGTTAATAGACTAATTGTATTGCTCGTATTACTTAGATGCCGGTATTATCAATGGTATCCTTCCGTTGCGTTTGGCCTGGAAAATTTGTCAAACATCGAAAATAATTTTCCGCTCGGGGTTCCAAGTTCCACCGATAAAGTCGCGGAGCTAAATATATAATTCTTGACGATGCGTTCGTCGTAAAACGCGACGCAGCGAGGACAACATGCGCGACAAGATGACACATCTTTTTTATATTCGATTATAGTCCGCGCGTTCCACTTCGAAAAACACAAAGCGAAACCGATAACATCGAGCGTGATCTTTATGTTAATTGAATCGAAATGAGATGCGTCGGGCGAGTCAAAGCGATTTTAATATGATGATGATCTCAAAATCTAAATAATTTAATTCAGCGTGACAATTCGATTTCTCAGCCCAGTAATTTAATTTGTCTTCGAATCAAGAAAACTGATCTCGTTCTTTAAATTTGCTTTTTTAGCTTATCTCCCGCAAAGTCAATTGCGCCTCACATATTGATTACCGATATTTATATCGATTTGTTTGCGATTGATAAGTCAAGGCGCTCCGAAATGTCGTCGCATGTCGATCGATCGTTCGCGAAATCGCGCAGTTTTTCTCCGAGAGAGATTTCTTCGCGAATTCATCGATCATGCGCTTTCCAAGTTTCGAGGCAGGTTTGCTCCGTAAATTTGGAGCGAGGCGAGGCCTATACATTTCGTTATCGTGTGCAAGAGATCCGACTGTTGTAAACAAAAACATTCGCGAGACGGAATTGCTTGTTGATCGCACGTATGTATTTGTGGACTCGACGGCGCGCAACATTTGGACTTTGCCCCACGTTCTCACCTATGCTCGCAGTCTAGTTTAATCAAGGATTGCTCACCTGTTTACTCCAAGCATGTGACAAACAGGTGCAATGTCTTTTTGTTGCAAAACGAGAAAAACCATTCTATGAAATTAAAATAGAAGCTATATAAATAAAAGATTACCGGTCTTTTTTTTTTTAGCAATTATAACGCGGCGACGTAATAATGAACGACACAATAAACGAATTCGCAGTAGAACGTCTATTCGAAGCGGCACGCTGTCGCAAACAAACATAACGATTTTCGATTCTCGATATTCGTCATATTTTTCCATAAACGTGCTGCTTCCACATTAACCGCATTATTCATGCGACGTGAATTTCAATGCGGAAACTCCGATGACTGCCATGTGCTGTTATTTTGAAGCGTATGATCACACGCCGGTATTGCAATATGCTCCGCGAAAGACGAGCAACAGGTTTGCTCCATTCTGCTATTTGTTTAAAATTCAAAGTGAAATAAGTACGCGAATAGCGGTAGCGCAAAGAGACGATTAAAAAGGTGGAAAGGAGAACTTTGGCGACTCGGAAGATTTCTGGGGTGTGTTGCGTCAGTGTACTCACTCTGCCATGGCGCACGTCGTCGTGGTTGGCCTCTTCTTCGATGAGGTATATACGATACGTATGTATATAATGTACTGAAAGGTGTATATGTATATCACAGTCCGTTGATCACAATGTTATCACCGCGGGGGTTTGACTGCTCATTGCCGGCGTGTATTTTCTCTTCCCTTTCTCGCCCCCTCGATCTCCACCCCTTGGACCGGCGATTTAATTTGTTCGAGGATGCGCAGGCTCCTCGAAACTCTTATTCTCAGAGACAGGTCAGGAGACCGATCGTGCGTCCGATCTCGTAAAAGCCCACAAGGGTCCTTCTCCACGTGCGATACATCTGTTTGAACCCTGCCGTGTTTCCTGTTGTCTCTCGTATTCGGCGCGTTTGAGAAGATTAAGAAGATTAGAGCCTCTCTATTGCCTTTCCTCGCACTTCTGCGGAGCCGTTGAGTGCAGGACCGCGTGAATCGGGAACGAGGTTGAACAACTGGCGCGGACGATTATCGTTCACGTTGCGGCTCGCGCGAAGCGAATAAACTGCCGGCTACAGGTCGTGAAAGCTTTATATGCGATGCGGTGCGCTTGCGACTTGTGGGTGAGAGAGAGAGAAAGAGAGAGAGGAGGACTGACATGATTGGCAGCGGTGCGCCGGAATAAGAGAGCGTGACAATGAAGCGCATGCGGATGGGGAAACGCGCGAAGTTTCGTCGAACAGAAAGAATTTACGAGCATGTGATCGAAGGGCGGAAACGACAGGATTAGATAGCAGTAAAGATAAGATAAAGAAGGTACACTGGTTGAATATCGAAGTAAATAAAGAATGAAAGACAAATAAGGGATTCAAATAAAAACAGAAATGGATGGACAGACAAATATTTACGAGAATAGTTTGACCTTTCATTGAATTTGTATTCATTTCTTTGTAATTTATGAAAATTAAAAAAAGTTTTTTCTCGCTATGTTAATGACGTTGATATTTCTGGAGAAATGATATAGATTATATAAAAATTAAATGAGATTAAATGTTTGAAAAAAAAAATATAGAGTGCTACGATAACAAATAAGCAGAAATCGAAAATATGCTCGCATTAAATTTTTTTCTAACGATATTTCAGTATCATCTGAAGAAGTGCTTTTGACAAAGCAGCGCGTGATTCGAAGTGATAACGGCGATACTCGCTGATAATATGGAATAGTTTAAAGCTCGTTAAAGCTGTTCGTAACAATGTTATTATTGGCGCGCGTTCATTGCATATAGAAAGGCCATCGCGCATCTCCCCTTTAAAGCTCTAGAAATCCTGATTAATGAGGACTTAATCTACTTCGGGCATCGATAAGAGCCTCGGCCGCGAAACGCGCTCGGTCATCTCGTTATCTGAGAAAAATAGTGCCGTATCTCGCAGCGTGAAATTGTCACGATTGTTGTTCGTGGAACGTGCCCCGGCGTCCCTCCGCATTTACGTAAAACGAGATAAACCAAGCCACGAAGAAAGTCTCCGCGCAGATTATCGCGGCGGAGGTAATCGATCGCTGAAGAAAGAGCAGAAGTTTGCTAGAAAGAGCAAAGGGTGCGGAAGAAAATAGAGGAAATGTCAGATGTTTTTGAGAGCCAGGGAAACATTTTTCCAAACACTCGAGACGCGGCAAACGGAAAAATTTCCCAGGAAAAAAGGGGGATTAAAAATAAATTCTAAAAGATGCGAAGATTGATTCAGTGGAGAAAATTGAGACGCATAAGAAAATTTTATCTCTGGTCTCTGTTTAAAAATGTACGAATTCAAACGCGATAAAAAGTAATGACGGTAGCATAAGCACTTATAAATGCACGATAAGGTCGAGCGCGAGATAAATATAACGCGGCGGACGATTTTGCGGCGGGAAAATGCCGAGATGATCTAATATTTATTCAATGCCTCGAATATTATTGGCAATAGCGCTACTATCTCAAAGCATAATTAGAGAATGAATGAAAAATGGAAAGGCTAGCGATAAGCTTGTGACAGTTTCGATTATACAGCCATTCAAACTTGACGCTTAACAAAGCATACAGAGTTTTTCGAATCTTACAGCTTGTATTGCAAAAGATGTAAACTTTTAACAAATAGGGACATTTAAACCTTCGAGCTTGAACCTGCTTCCTTATTTGTACGTCAAAGATTCTAACTTTTAACAAAACATATAAAATCTTTTGCTTCGCAACTTTTAAGATTGAAGTTTGCCTTCTTATTTGCACGCAAGTGTTAACTCTTAACAAGGTCTCAAACTTTAGAGTTTAAATTTTATTATTATATCTGTACGCAAAAGGAATAAATAACTCAAAGTATGAATTTCAATGCAATGATATTTTTCTCTTATTTTTCATGCTCCCGAATACTGAAGTAAGCAACGAAAATAATTGTACACCAGGTCACACAAATGCCTTAACATATGAAGTTGCACGGGTGTCAAGACACATCGAGTCGGCGTGTTCCGACTCTACGTATTTTTACATCACGACTGGTTATGAACATAACGGCAATGCTGTTTTGGCTATTTCAAAGCAATTGGAGCAATTGATTGATATTATAAATATTAACCTTTATTTGTCAATTGCTCGAGTTGCTTTGAAACAGTCAAAACAGTTTTGCCGCTGTGTTCATAACCATAGTCATGATGTAATAAAAATATGTAGAGTCGGAACACGCCGACTTGATATGCCTTGACACCCGTGCAACTTCATACGTCAAGGCATTTGTGTGACTTGCGTACGTCCAAAAATTTGCATAAAGAAATTAAGAATCTAGAAGGATGTCCTATCATCATTTGCGTCAGCTGTTTTTAAATTGAATCTCGTGTGTTTTTTTTTTTTTTTTTATATAAAGAGAGATATGGATATATTCAATAATAACAATAACGTAATTTAAACTGATATTATGCCGTTGAAAAATTGAGTAAAGATAATAAACGAGTATCATTTAAGCTCGGGTTGGTGCGCTTCTCGGCCGTGTTTCCTGAAAGTGTCGACACTATCAGTTAATTATTGACACATTCGACATTTAGTATCGTAAATTCGAACATGATGAATCGCGCGTTCACCGTAAGTGAAATCTGGCAGACACGGTTTGATAACCTCGGCCTATGAACACTTGGTCACGCGGATTCATGCAAACACTGTAATCGTCGAGTATACATGACGTTTGTCACGATTAGACGAGTGAGATTCCTTCAATAAAATTGCAATTTTAATTTTTTACAATCTTGTTGCAAAAATTAACCGATCTAAATTGAACCGTACAATCTGCTTTTTAATAACCTCCACTTTGCTCGCTATTATTCTGATAACATTTCGTAAATCATGCCATTTATTATCTAATTGTAAGAAAAAATTCAGGAGCAGACAGTATAATTAAAACGAGAGCGCGATTAAAGTATTTTAAAAACTTAAACAATATTAATAGAATCTCAGATACAAAATAATTACTACAACAAGGAAGACTGGCTCAATATCGTAACTAGAGACGACACCTGCGTCAGAGATTTATGAAAATTTCGAGTACACAGTTATTCATTAATATTCGTAAAATCACTACGATGAGATTTGCGGGATTGCGTAGTTTGCGGAACAACATGCGACGTTCGTCACTCAATTATCACGCAGCTGTTATCTTATCCGAATCAAAAACTCGAAAGTCACGAGCGCTGATGCTCATTTCGGGTCGGCGAGGGGGATAAGTAAAAAATCATCAGCGCCCGAGTACTCACTCAAAAAGCAGCGGCGACGCGTCCGCCCTGCTGCCGCTGGCACCGAACGTCTCGTAATTCCTGTTCCTGGACATGTCGGCGTAGGACTGAACACGTACGTGGCCAGCTGTGGCCGATTAAATTGTTCGTTCTCGGTGGTTTATCGGGCAAACCGTAGTCACGAGCTTGCCACTATCAAGCTCGAGGAGTCATGTGCTCCTCCGCGTCCGTCTTGTTTTCTTTAATTTCGCGTATTTTCATGCCGACTGTTTGTGCTCGTTGCACTCCGCCGAGACATAGAACAGGGCTCTCCGCCCGGTTTCCGTTTTAAATATTTTAAAAACACGTGAAAAATGGGAAATTATCTAATTTGGCAGTAAACAATCATGTGACGTAAATATTATTTCAGTCGTGATAAAAAGACTTTCGAAATTAATTATTATCTTCAGCTCGTTCGAAAATTTTTTGTAAAAATATCTTTCGAGATATATCTAATTTATTTGTAGTTTCCACAAAACATGAAAAAATAATGATAGAAAATAAACTTTTAGATAGTTCTGTAAGATATTCTTCAAGATGTGTGTGAAGTGGAGTCGGAACTTAGAGTGTTTCTCAAATCCTTTCTAAAGTCTTTCTCAAATCCTTATATCTTCGCGGTACACGCGCGCAACTGAGACAGCGAACTTGCGACCAATAAATAAGGTTGGCGGGAGCGTAAAAAATGTGCAAATAAGCGATTTGATATCTAACTTATTTATTTATTGACGGTGATCGTGCTGGCATTCATCGCAACATTGCGCCCGCGTTCTTATCGGCGGCACGAGTGATTACAGACCGCATGTGACCGTTCGCGGCAATAGATTAAGATGTATTACGCAAGTCATAATTTACGCGCGCGATTTACTTGCCAAATGTGGACGATTAAAGTGCCATTTAGTTACGCAATTTGTTATCGACATTATGGTTGTATCGTGTAGATCTCCGACGCGAAGTCTCGTCTCCGCGAAAACAAATTTAGATTCAGTTTTCTGACTCACGTTCCGCTTCTCTATAATTAACACGCTCGTAAAATTAAGTGATCAATGAAAAATGCGCTTGCCAAATAATTTCAGACAATTCTGCTGACTATTTAAGCCAATCGCGGGTTCTGCTGACTACATAATCCGGAAAAAAATGACAGGGTCAAAACTATTTTCGAGAGAAATATAAAATTAAAATAAATCGTTAATATTTAAATCGTGACGATTTGTTTGCTCAAAATTGCACACAAAAGGATGATTCATTCGAAAGATTTACACAAATGGATGCGACACTTTAGACTCCAGACTGTGACTCGATATATCGTCTAGTTTATCCAGCTAACTTCCGCTAAATTCGAGGTGAACGATTCTCGGCAATGAATCATGTACTAATTGAACCGGCGTCTAGGAGAAGGCGCACGTGATTACCCGATTCTCTGAATTGTGCTGCAAATATTCCACGCTTAATCGGTTTCCTATGAATAGCGACGTTATATAACGTTCCAGTGTAATTCCTTATTAATACGAAATCATATGACCGCTAGAAATGAGCCGCAATAAAGTAACTTTAACAAGAGAGATGATTCTGGAACCGTCACGAGACTTTTACGAGCAGCTCAATCGCTTCGAGAAGAGTTGATTCCACGGACCGGAGACACCAAGGGGAGGAGCCCCGATTGGCATCTTGAGTCGACGCTAATTAATCAATTGACGAGCTTGTTATGATTGTCACATGCTGCAGTGAGTTTAACTAGCATTCATGGTGTATTTGTCTTGATATTAATCGCATTTTTTTGCTCGTCTCCTCCGATTCTACACCTCTCGAAAAATGCCTTTAACATTTATGCAAGAGTATTCGTCATAAGCATAGATCCTTTATTTTAAAAACGTTGTCGTAAAATGCGCTCTGCGAAAGTGGACAATGAATCCTTATTTTTATGCAGAGACTGTTGCGCGGTAATTTTGTAGATAAATAGAAAAATTCGACAATATTTTTAAAATATTTGTAACAAGTTTGTTTCAAAAACATGCAAACTTGTGATAGATATAAATTTTTTAAAAATATAAAATCTTTTCACTTATTTAAAATATCGCCGCGCGATAATCTGCATAAAAATAAAGATGATTTTATTGTCTACCTTCCGAAGAAGCGCATTTTACAATGCGCGAGATAGGTGCGGAGAATAGTGGATCGCTGGATGCGCGATTGGAAAAGTAAAAGTTTCTCAGCTAAGCGACCGTCGACACGTTAATTATATATGAATGAGAAACGCACTTGTCCGACTGGTTTTTCGCCGAGTGGAAAAGCACCGATAATAGATTCGCGTAATTGATCGCGCGCGATTCCAATTACGATCCGCTTATTCTAAAACCGTTTTATAGAATCGAAGCCGTGACCGTTTGGCACGCGAACAAAAAGTATCCAATAGTGCACTGATTCACGTGCTCGATCGAACAAAGTGCATTCGGCGACCGACGAACGCAGACTTTGCGTTCTCCAATTAGATGAACTTGACAAAGAAAATCCGTCCGATTGCTATGTGTTGCGAATTCGTTCCTTGTTGTTTTTGCACGCGTTACTCAATACATTTTCGTGACAAACATCTGCGGTGTTTAACAAACATCATCATAATTTTACATCTTGTTATTCGCCACCTTTCAAACGGAATAATCCCAAGCTCATAATTAAAACATTAGATTTAAATTAAAAATAAACTTAAATCTATCGATTTGCAATATCTCTAACAGAGCGTTAGCGATAAACGATAAACGTGTCGGCATAAAACAAATGGCGAGAGAATTAAAAGACTGGTGTAAATATGCTGTCTTTTATGCCGCATTTATTTTTAGAGAGAGAGAGAGCGAGAAAGAGAGAGAGAGAGAGAGAGAGAGAGAGAGAGAGAGAGAGAGAGAGAGAGAGAGAGAGAGAGAGAGAGAGAGAGACGTAATAACTTCGTATAGCATACATTATACGAAGTTATACG